GCATCCCCCGCCCCCGCCCCCGCCCCGACCACCGGAAGCCCCCCGGGGGATCCTCCCCGATGGGAAGCCCCCCTACGAAAACTCCATTGCTCCCGGCCTGCTCCTACCGCCGGGACCAGTTCCAGTAAGTTGAGTTAGTTGTTTTCCGCCTAACCCTTGGACCTTTTTATAACGGTCGCAGTCCTCTGCAGGAAATGACTCTTTTCAATGACTTCAGGAAGGCGTTGAACGCTGACCGCTTATAGTCTTTTGTCAAAGTGTTATTGTGCCCTTTTCTGCTAGTATGTTTGGGTTTCTGGACGACCTTATGCTGCTAGAGTAGAGTTGCATAAAAATGTTAAGGGGCGCCGGGGGTCAGCTCCCCCATCGAACGCAGAATTCGTGTTTCTGGTTATGAAGACCACTTTAACCAACCCATTAAACACATCCAATCAGTTTACAATCTTCGCTCCAGTTGCTCGCCAAGCAGAAATTCCCTTCTTTTCATCCACCAAGTTCCGTCCAGTCGCGCGGCGCCGCTTCGCTAAACATCACTTGTGACCCCTTTCTACGCTCTCATCCCGTCGGTAAATTTAATCTGAATAATGCCACGCACAGCTAGTGATCACCGCCTGTGCTTACCTTCGCTCATCTGTTTCGTTCCCTTCCATCCGCAGGTGCCATCGGAATTCCGCTGGCCGGCGGCTCTTGCACAGGTCCTCTGGCTACCCGTCGACCTGCACTACCGCCGACGGTTCCGCCCAGTACTGCTGCCCCACCGGAACCGGATGCTTCTCCTCTTCATCCTTCACCTGCTATTCCGCGAGCGGAACCGGAACGTACCCCACAACTCCGACCAACTTCGACTCGGACTGCTCCCAGGTTGTCGAGCTGACGATCGACGAAGCGCAGGCGCTGTTCGAGAGCGGCCAGCTGACGTCACACTCGCTCGTGTCCTGCTACCTGCAGCGGATTGCGGACTACGACAACATCGGAACGTTCAAGGGCCTCGTAAGTTCGTTGTTTGCCCTTCAAGTTACCTTTCGCTCTTAGCATTCCTCGCTTACTCTTTCTTACTTTATCCACCTATTCCTTTCTTCCGGCAATTTTGAAGTTGTGGTCTCTGTAACGAGCCCTCCGGTAAGGTCTAGAGCACTTGACTGCTCCCTTCCTGCCACTTGAAGTTAGCAATGAATGTAGACCAAAGCACTCATTCGGCGCAGTCGAAAATTGGATTGAAGTATGTGTAAGGAACAGCGCCTCAGTCGCTGATATAGATCACGCAGGGTGCATCATCTGGACATAAGAAGTAAGTAATACCAGCGCCGTTATCTGCTTCACGCCCAAGTCTCTGCTTTCGCCTGTGACTTTTCACCGATCAAGCAGAAGTCTCGGTTCGTAAGCACCGAATAGGACTCATAGCCCGTAAGTTTCTTCGAGTACGCCGTCGCCTATTGGCGCCAGCGGACGAGCCCACTAGATAAATAGTGCGCTTCGGCACATTTCTAAACTTTTGCAAACCGCTGGCTTATGCCACGAACGCCGTGCTGGAGCAGAATCCGAACGCGCTGGTAGATGCTGACGCGACAAGTCATCGAGCGAGCTTTTGGCTCATGTTCCAGATCCTCCTTCGCTTTATGATTATCTCCTCCATTGTTAATTTCCAAGGTAGTCTCTAACACATTTCATATTCCAGATACAGACCGCATATGCCACTAACGCCGTTCTGGAGCTCAACCCGTCGGCTCTGGCCGACGCTGACGCGAAGGACATCGAGCGCTCTTCCCGCAGCTCTACCTCAATCCTTTGCTCTCTCCTCTTACCGGCTTCTGAGTTGTCTTTGAGTTGTTTCCAACATATATTTGCTACTTTTCCAGACCGCTTATGCCACTAACGCCGTTCTGGAGCTCAACCCGACGGCTTTGGCTGACGCCGACGCGAAGGACATCGAGCGCGCGGCGTGCGCGCCCAACTGCAACCTCAACAAGCTGCACGGAATTCCGGTCGCCCTCAAGGACAACGTGTGCGCGGACGGAATGGAGTGTACCGCTGGTGAGCGTTCCGTTCTTCTTGATGAGTACGTGGGATTTTGGTGGCCTTCACCTCTGCGAGTAAGGAAAGGATTTATGACTGCCGCGCTCGCGGAAGGATTCCGCAACAACGTGAGCGGAATCATTCTGCGCCCCGAACCGCTTTCAACACGTGTCTATGAGTCGTCCCGTTCCTTCCGCTCGGGGTCCTAGAACTTGGTCGGCTCTAGCTTACCACCCGGAAGCGTAACTCGCAACGTACCGGAATCAAGAACTCCGGCGGAATCATCCTTCGGTTCGATGTGTTCGGTTCCATTCTTTACGTGCAGATTTTCTGGAACCTCTTCGGCTCTCCTCACGCGTAAGCGTACCTCTCGACCGGATTCTATGTGTTTCTGAAGTCCGGTTCCGTTCGTTCTGTTCAGGCTCCTGGAACCTGTTTGGCTCCCACCACGCGGAAGCCTACCTCGCGACCGGAATCAAGGCCGCGGGCGGAATCATCCTGTGCAAGCTGGGCCTCTCCGAGTGGGCCAACTACCGCGGCAGCTCCGTCTCCGGCTGGTCCGGCCGCGGGGGGCAGGTCTACGTGAGCGACGTCACGCTGACGCTATCAATGACGTCATCTCTTGTTGCGCTTTGTTATTGGATTTGCTGTTTGTCGCTGATTGGCTGGTAAGAACACACTCCGTCTGCAGCTCCGTTACCGACTGGTCCGGTCGCGACGCGGCGGCCAGATTCCCGTGAGTGACTCACGCTGCAATCAGCGCAGATGTTACATTCAACATTGCACTTATCGACGCTCAGCTTTTTGTTTGGGACGAAAACGGTTCAGCAGCACTAGCAGCTTTGTTGTCGCTCCCCCGGGCCCAAGCGAGCATTTTCACGTCAGCCGCCTCTCTCTGACGTCATCATAAGACTAGTAAAACTAAGCTCCTGTTTCGTTGTCGACGCGAAACTGTGGCTTCTTGACTTCGCTGCTTCACCCACAAACTAGCCAAGCACAACCTTCTTCTATTAGCAACGCGACTTCTCTTCTCAGCAATGCCACTTTCCTATCCGCTCTTTCAAGGTTTGGCAATACGAAGCCAACGTGAATCTTAGGATGTCCTGCCTTTATCGGACAAAGGAGCAAAATCGAATTTCTTCGTACAGGATCCGTACGTCCGCTACCAGATCAGCGGACAGATCACGATTGACAACCCGTACCCCGACATTCCCTCTGCGCTTCCCGTCAACACCACTTACTTCAACCACTCCAACCCGACGATCGTCTCCGGGAGCTCTTCCGGTTCCGGCGTTGCCGCCGCGACTAGTCTGGTGAGCTAATCTAGACCTCCCTCTTCCGTTGAAACATAACAGAATCTCGTACGGAAAGTGATAATCCGACCTGGGAACAAGACTACGGGAGCTATTCCGGGTCCGGCGTCCCGGCCGCAATCAGCCCGGTAAGCTGGAGTCTCTACACTTCCGCTTTTGCTGATCTGTATCGATTCTCTAAGTCCCAAATGAAACGGGCTTTTGCTTTCTGTATCAGAATCCTGGAAAGCAATTCCGAGAGCTCGTTCGTTTCCGGGTCGCCTCTGCGATTGGCAAGCCGTACATTTCATCACTACTTGTTTTCGTATGTGCTTTACCAGCCCTTTTCTTACGCTTTGCTTCCTAATCTTTTCGCTTGGTATACCGACTCATCAGTGAGATTCGATCCGCCGTCTCCTGTGCAGCGGAACTCCTTGAACCGTTCGTCATCTGTCTTCCCGTCGTTTTTGCTCTGCGAAGCTTGAGCTACTCGGCTCGGGATGAACAGCTAATTCATCTTACACACAGATCTTTCATTACGTTTTCGCGTCCAACCTGTTGAGCTAGAGATGATTCTGGTCCTTACCCTTGTTCAAACTGAAAGCGAGTTTTGAGAGTCTTTTCTCGTAGGTAGCAAACATCTTCCCGTTATGCCAATATGGGAGCCATATTTTGCGTCAGACCTCGCGAGCGCAGCAGCCGCGTCCTCTTTTCAATGGAATTTTGCTTGCAGAAACAAATGGAACGCCTTGAATTTCTGAACTACGCGTAAAACCAAACGAAATGAAGTCGATCGAGAGGGTTAGAACTAACCCTTCGGGTCATCCGTGCTTTGTGTAGGCGATGGTAACCATCGGTTCCGAGACAAGCGGATCGATCCTGGGCCCCAGCGGATCGAACGGACTCGCCGGAATCAAGCCCACCGTGGGTCTAGTCAGCCGCGCCGGCGTCGTTCCGCTGTCGGAATCTCAGGACACAGCCGGGTGAGCGGAAATTGAAACCATCCTTTAGCTCATTTGTTCGCCTCTTCAGCTGTACTTTGAGATGCGCAACTCGTTGGCTCTGCGAAAAGAAGACCTGCTATTTCAAATCCACAATCTCAGCCGTGGCGAAAAGAGTTCTTACTTGGAAAACTCAAATTTCAGATAAGATATGACAAAGGAGAGATTACTAGCGCCCCCAAGGAAGCAGAAGTTCTTATTTTGAAGCAGCCGCTTTGAAGTAGAGCCAAAAGAAGGGGTCTGTGCATGTTCGTTAGCTGCATTTGGAACTTGCGCATTGAGGACCACTTAGCCGTGTGTTTTATTTAAATGCTCATGCCCACATCCGTGTGCCGTCTCTAACGTTGGACGCGGTACGTCTTCGGAGCAACCCTACAACCTTCTTTCGCCGTCGACTTCAGATGATCATTGAAAGAAGTTCAGCCGTCCGATGCATATATCGACGGTCCGATTTGCAGGCCCATGTGCCGGACTCTGACGGACGCCGTGTACCTTTTGGACACCATCACGGGCGTCGATCCGAACGATGCGTACACCAACGGACAGGTCGCGCCCGTGGGCGGCTTCACACAGTTCCTCAAGACGACGGGCCTGCAAGGTGTGAATGCACCCCTCCAGCCCTGTGATGAATTTATCTTGTGCTGGAAAATCCGCGTTTCAGGTCCTAATAACCATATCTGATCAAGCTCTGAGTAGGCCCTGCAGTTGAATTCTCCTGGGATATTTAAGCTCGAGATGCGAATGACTTTTACGTCCGCTCACGATTACTCCTAGCTTTGGCTCGCAGTCTCCATCCAATTTCCCTCAAGCTCCTGGTTACATGTGGTGCTATCTGATCCCCGTGTGAGCATTGTGCCTGAGTCCGAAGGTTTCTCATCGATCCCCACTGCATGCAGGAGTGCCCTCCGTGCTTGGAACCCTGTTCCGTTTTTGGAGTCCTTCCTTCTTCGCATGCTAACCCTCGAGTTCTGAGTTGACGAAAGGCAAGCTGACCTAAGCGGAAGGATCTGACGTCAGCTTTCACTTCCTCCAATGATGCAGGAAAGAAAATTGCTTTCACCCCCTTGAACCCCAACACCACCAACCCGGTTCTTCTGGCCGCCTTCAACTCGATCCCCGATATCCTCAGGTATGTCGTTCTCTAATGTTGCGCTTTTGTTTTCTGCCCAATTAGTCCCTTCAATCGGCATTCCTTGCGGCTATAAACGTCAGCTGCAGTGATTAAGGTGGCGTTTGGCTGGCTTTTTAATCTTAATCTCCAGCTTGATGCTTGGAAACTTGATGTGTACCTTGTTCTTTAGTGGTGCGAGCCTCTGATTTACTCAAACCTCCTATGTCTCGATTTCATCCTGATGTCATCACTTTTGACACATCCATAAAACTTCTGAAAAATGAGTCGTTGCCTGAACCATTGACTTAGATCGTCGATAAAATGGCTGCCTAGGGCTGGTTATGAAATATCTAAGTCCTTCCTGAGTTGTCATCTTTTTTTGAGCATTCGAAAGCTTCTTTGCGCAGGGCCCAGGGCGCCACGGTGGACGTCCTTCCGTTTCCGTTCACCATCCCCGGAACCAGCGGACTGAGCACCAGCTCCATCCTTCCCACGGACTTCAAGGTCGACATCAACAACTTCCTCTCGGGTAGGGCGTTTTGTATACATTTCGCGGGATCGCACTTCGAACTTGTGTGCTGACGAAAATGCTTTTTACTGCTTTCTGTGTTCTGTGCCAGGTAAAGGTCTACAGCTGCTTAATTGATTCGAGGGCACCAATTGTTTGCTTGCTCTTCGCAGCAGCCCATATCTTTACCTCCAGAGTTGAGGTGATTGATAGTTTCAGAAAGACGCAACTTCTCTCGATCGCGACTCACGTCTAGCGTTCACGTCTCATTCCCAATCCGCCATTTCGAGTCACTTGTGCGCTCTTTCTGAGACCCTTTCACCCGTTTCGACGAACACCTTCAACATTTTATGCAGCTCTGTTCTGATCGTATCGTGCTGCTATTCCGCCCGTACCGAGCTTATGGGCACGAAGCAATCCGACTAGATTTTGAAGGCGACCACGAGTGTTTCTGCGGAACACTTCTCTAGAGGACTCAGTAGAAGTTTTCTTCGAAAACTCTATAACCCCCTGCCTAAACACTCTGTTAATCATTTGCAGAGCTAACCTGGAAGGCTGGCTTCACCGTCCAGAAGACGTTGGCGGACATGATCCAATTCAACAAGGTACGTTTTCGGACTATATTCTTACGACCCAGATAATTTCGCATGTCAACCCTTTATGTTTTTCGACAGCTGTCAGAGGACATGACAGCTGTCAGGGTCTGGTCTAAACTACTTTAAAAGGTGATCAGATAGCTCTGAAGCTTCAGAATCGTGACGACTAGAATGTCGGTGGATGTATACCTGGTTGAGAGGCACATGCGCGCAAGGCGCGCTCGTACACCTTCAGCATCTCACAGTGGGAGACACTTCATGCAGACTTTGTTTAGTTATCCAGGACTCAAGAAGGACAAATTGAGAGCGAGAAGGACCGGAATTCAAGAGAAGTACGACCCACAAGATTCGTCACAACGAACCCTGTGTTTCGCCGCCGGAGAAGTTGAGACCCAGAGGTCAGTTTGACAACAGGGGACCTTTCATGCGATTCTGGTGGACTTTAAGGGAGGAGTGATCAAAACCCAAACCATCATAACATAGAATGTTCCGCTTTTGCGCAGGACAACTATCTGCTCGAGTTCCAGGGCGGCACGTGCTGCCGCGGACAGCCCGCCTACGGCAACTTCTTCCAGCAGACCTGGGAGAACGCGCAGAACACCACCGGGTTTGACTCGGCCGCCTACATGAGCTCCAAGCAGGTAAACACTTTTTTTCATTTTGACATAATTCTTAGATCTGGGCTGGCTTACGGGTGGGTCGTATGGTTTGTGTCAACGGCCGCTGAAAAGTCATTTTCAGCAGACCTGGGAACAGGCGCAGAACACCACAGGGTTTGGCTCGACCGCCTACATGAGCTCCAAGCAGGTGAACACCTTTCTTCTGACATACTTCTGAAATCTGGACTGTCTTACGGGGGTGTCTTATGGGAGTGTCAACGGCCGCTAGAGGTTAAGCTTTTTCAGCGGATCTACTAATCCAGACCGCGCAGAATATCACCTGCTTTTGCTCGACCGCCTACATGAGCTGTAAACAGGCAAATCCCCTCCCTCTTTTGACACAAATGCGGGAATTATTGGTTTTCGTTACTGGGGTTTGCGTCAGAGTCTGCTGAGAAACGATCTTAACGAACCTAGAAGACCGCGCCAAGCATAGTTTGACGCTTTTGTGTCAATCTCGCAGCTTCTTCGGGCTCCCCTCTGCGTGCCTGAATATATCAGTTGGTCAGCAGGTTTTGGTTTCTGGCCTCCGCCCTTCTCAACTTTCCGCCGCTGATGACACCCGATTATGATATCCCCACTGACGTTGTCGTTACCTTTGCTCTCTGCTTATCATACCCTCGCACCGCTTATGGCAGAACGCATCGGCAATTGCGGCCGCCATCACCACCTTCCTCAACAGCAACGGCTATGACGCGATCACTTCCAACGGGGGGCTCATCGGTACCTTCGCCACAGCCCAGTAAGTACCTCCCCCCCGGAATTGCTTCCTCTCGTTTTTGCCGGGGAAAGCGTTAAGCTACCAGCTCCTTCAGTCAGCGTTGAAAGCAGGTTACGTTCTGGTCTTTCGATAGTCGCTTTCTGAAAATTCGTTTTCTTCCCAACATACGTCATAAGATAAGGAGCGCCTTCTGGACACTGTTTCCGGTTTTCCTTCTGATAGAGCAACCAACGGTCCGGTGGCAAAATTCACCAACCCACAATTTTTTGACTGGCCGCCTTTTGGGTCTCTCGAGCATTCGCTTAACCCCGGTTTCTTTCCCAAAACGGCCCACCATTTCTTGGTGACGTTCTCAGATTTCCACACATAGTATATCATCGTCGGCCTCCGAGTGTAAGAGAAACGAACCCACACTCTCTTCCGACCAACTTTGCGAGCCCCGAGCAATAGTATACTCCCTGTCTCAATAGAAAACCGACCCACCCTTTCTTCCGGTTACTTTTCAGGTTCCCGAGCATTTCCATTCCCGGGCTCAAGACCAGTCTGGGCGCACCGAGCGGGTTCATCTTCCACGGATCCGCGTATACGGAGGCAAAGCTTATTGAGATGGCCTATGCATACGAGCAGGCCAAGCCTTTCCCCCGCCCGCTCCCGACCTTTTGCAACGGCGCCAGTTGCTAGACGCCACGTGGCACACGCGCGCGCAAATTCTCATGATTCGCGCAATCGGGCTTGGAGCCTCAAGGTTACTGGATGATATAGGATTCTGGGTTAGGCGTGTTGCTAGCTTAAGTTAAGCTGTGATTGGGTTTCCATTTTTGTGCGGAAATTAAGTAATTTTAGCTCTACAATAAGATTGCTCACCGTCGTTTCCAAGCGAAGACGATACTTTTCGGACGGTGGCACCAACAGCTCGCAAAACAAAGCTGCTGGAAGAGCGTACGTAGAAGAAATAGCTGCTGGCGTTGGCAGCCGGGACGTCAACCTGATAAGCAGGATGGAAGTTCGATAAGCAGCCGGACGTCCAATAAGCAAGCTGGACGTCCGATACGCCCTTTTCTGAATTTCGTGAGAGCTTCCGTTCCGCTCTTCAAGTGCAGCGAGACAAGCGAAAGGCTCTGAAATAAGCCTTGACATTTCGGTTAGCACCCAATTGGAATTCATTACAAAACACAAGTGCTTCTGTCTACACGTCTTTAGCTGCTCAAATACCACTCGCTTGAAATTTTCAACGTTCGGATCGGGCCAACTCAGTCTGGCGTCGTCCAGCCCAATACTGATTATAACGCCTACGTCTTTTCCTTGATTGGTTTTTGAAAGCATCCCGTACCTAAAGCGCCAGAGCGCAAATACCTATGTGACGCGTGACTGACAACTGGCCGGGCAGGTAACCTGTTTGTGTTTGGTTCAGTCAACGACTGAGAAGTTGAATCAAGACGGGTCGAGCCATTATTTCAGGTATGATCTGTTTGATTTTTTGTTAGTGTAGCAAAGAAAGCGTACCGGCCCGTAACCTTTTACTTGGCCCTGCTATGTGAACATTATAGACCCTATAACCTAAGACGTACGCGCCATGAAAGATGTCATTTATAGCTACATTTTGCCACATCTTAATACCATCGATACCGGTACCCGCGTAATCCATGCACCAAGCCAGAAGTGTCGAAAGCGTTCGATGTGGTAGCGTCCACAAATTTAATCTACTTCTGCTGAACGAAGCTTCAAAAATCGTATCATTGAGCATCAAAACAACTTGAGTCATGCCGCCATGACGGTTGAACATGAATGTTGCACGTCGATTGATCATACTCGTATAGCCAGAACTTTCTGCGGGCCTGTTGACCGTGATAGGAAATCGTCGGTTGAAGTCTCAGTGAGTTGAAGCCAAATAGATCCATGAATTAGTGGATCGCCCACTCAGGGTTTGTGTTGGCTTCGCCGCCGCCGGACCCTTTATATTGTAAGCGCACCCGGCCTTGCTTGCATTTAATAATTTGCACTGACAGCGTGACGGCGCGACCGAAGGTCGCCGCGAGGCTTTGGTTCGGTGAACTTCATTCTTTCCAATGGATACTTCTCTTATAGCCCGTGCGAATCAAAGCCATGGGGCGGTCAGAATGTAACACAAGATTAATGGCGGCGGCTTGCGCGTGATGCATCTATCAGGGTGACGAAGATGAGACAACGATGTTTAGGTGACTAGACCAAGTTTTGAAATCCGTATTCGTTCAAGATGACGACAGCCTGAGTGCACGTTGCGCGCCTGCGCAGCGACTCGGAATTCTGGAGACGCCACAAGAAATCGAAATGGGCTACGGGGTGACTTCTGTACTGGAGCTTTGTATCACGCTTCTTTTCGATGATTGTACCTGACTGCTAGACGGCCATATAGATTTGAAGATATTATTGTTGGTAACTCGGGCTCGTTTGTGGCACATTTCCTAATCCAGGTAAACGTACAAGAAGTGATAGAACTTCACCCTTAAGGCTTCGACCCGTAACGCGCACCATTCTCCGAGAATCCCTGATCTCATCTGCAGAATCTTTGCTTTCCCGTTTCTCCTCCAACAGGTCTTTATAACGCGAGACCCTCCCCGCCAAATAGACTCTGTTTGCAAGCAGAATCGCCCGTGCGACGATCTTCTCAAGCCGCGACTGCTTCTTCCATTCTCCCCACATAGATTGGCCTTCGCGCCTCCCCCTGCTTACGTAGCGCCAAACAAGATAGGAGACCCCAACGCTCAAACTGGTAAAACCGCACAACCCAAAGCCCAGTTTCATAATTCTTCCCCCACCAAACTCTTGGCTTCTGCCAAGACTCTCATTCAACGAAGCATCTTGACGCCGTGTTGCAGCAAGCCCGACGCTCCAATCTAGTTGCTCCGGTTCCGTCTCATGACAGGACAGCTTTTTTTCAGAAGTCGCCAGTTTCTGCCTAGAAATTGGCACCTTCGTGCCGCCCACTTTGGTAGTTCCGGCCACCGCTTCCGCTGAATCCGCTGGGCCGCCCGCAGCCACCCGGGCGCCGAACGTGGACGGAACCCGGGAGCGTGCCAAAACTGCTGGTTCTCCTGAGTTGACGGCTCCCGGTTGGGCAGGAAGGCTGGAGGTTCTGAATGGAACCGAGGAAATATCGATGTTGGGTCCCTTTATAAATTGTGACTTCTTGGTCAGCACTCCTGCCAATGCTCTGCATCCAGGGAGAAAGATCGCAGCGGCATCTGTGACGCTCCATAGGAAGACCTCTTCTGTGAAGTCCATGTCTCCTTTCCTACGAGAAAAGTTGGTCCGACGTTACAATTGCAGATTGTGGGCTAGATAACAACGACCTTTTTCCTACGAGAAAAGTTGGTCCGACGTTACAATTGCAGATTGTGGGCTAGATAACAACGACCTTTTTCCTACGAGAAAAGTTGGTCCGACGTTACAAGGGCAGATTGTGGGCTAGATTACAACGCGTGTCCGGTCCGCCTTAGCCCTCTGAAGCTTGAGTATGAAATCTGTCTCTTTCTTCAGCATTAGTACAAGGTTTCAGCGTCTGAAATTCGTCGCTGTGGAAAGTTCAAAGGTAAGGCCGTCATTCCAATCATTGACGCCACTCCCTCAAAGACATTTACTTGCTAAATCTTGAATGGGTCCTTTTGTTACCCAAACCTCAACATCTGGGAATGATGTTCTTATCTTATCGCTCGCGCTGACGGGAAGACTCTTCGCATACAGAGCGGCTCGCAGATAGGATGATGCTTCAATCTTTACCGCCCTTCCAAAGAGCTGAGCGCTCAACCTCTTGATGGTTATCTTGCATGTCAGACTTGCTTCACGGGGTAAGAGGGCTCTTTGGATGTGACTAGAGGTGCCTCGGTGAGAAATGACTGTTCCAACATTTACATGCAGAATTTCATTGATGTGACGATTTTCCGGTCATGTCAACAATCTTTACCGCTCAAGAGGACTTCTCATACTGGTAGAGCCATTAAATGATCCGATCGTAGCCATCGGACGGCACACGTCTGTTTAGAAAAGGGTCAAGCTGGCGGCAAGTTTGACGAAACTTGCAATTAAGATCTTGGCTGGCGCTGATATTGCGTATCAAAGATGCGCAAACAACCACTCAAAAAGCTAAAACTTCCTCTGTCAGAATTTGCTCCCGCAAACCATCGCAGGTCTTGCATTTGAAAGAACAACGTTTCTGATTTTCTTGCTCTCCCTATATGGCAGTACGTCGCTTATGGACATCTGTAAACATTTCGGCGAGGCGGCATCCACACGTTGATTTCAATCTCACCCAAGACTGCAGAGTCCACCAATTCAGAGGATAGCATTTCAATCACAGTCATCTGAGGCTAGCCTTTGTAGAACGGTGGTATATCTCTTATCTGAGGAGCTAGAGTACGAGCGGAGTAAAGAAGCCTCGAAGGTGCTCCCCCAGAACTCCGACCAGAACTCAGACTGCATTCTTTCTGCCTAGTTGTAATGGGCGATTAGTAGCGTGCTAAACCCCACTGTGTTGCCAGCATCAGAAGGCTCGGAAAGTCTTTCGACGCTGCGCCCAACGGCTCCCACCGCTGACGTCACGAGCGGCGCCGGCGCGGCCGCGGCTGCCCGCGCGGCTGTGAGTCAGCGCCGTCGCGTTGGACGTCACAGCCACCGGCCGCGTCGCTTCGACTGCTGACGTCACCAAAGGTGCTGAAGTGGGCGTTGCTGACGTCCCCAGAGGCGGCGGATGCGTAGATGCTGATGTCACCTTCGCGTTCGAAGCACCCGGAGGAAGCTGAGAGGGGCCGAGGTCGGGACAGCGATCTGGGGTGTCGGGGCAAGAGAGGAAGATTAAATTGGGGTATTTGAATGGAGTTAAATTAGATCGTAACCGGGGCCGAGTCAAGCGCCCAGACCTTGCCTCGTATGGGAAGCTTGGGGCCATTCGGCTGGTACAGATACGGCTAAGGGGGCCCAGTCGCAGCGGGGGCGATATCCCGGAACCGGAGATTAGCGCCTTAGTGGGGCCCGGAACTTGAGACTGGCGCAGCCCCCGGGGGAGCCAGCCCCCGCCTGGCCGGGAAGATTATGTCCGGTGGAAAATGCTTTCGGGGGGGCTCGATCAGAGTACTAAGAGGTGGCGCCGAGGCCCGGGCTTGCACTTTCCGGGGGCTAGCGACGCCGGGGGATTTGCTAGGGGGGCCTCGGGTGCACTAAGTTCCTCTAAGGGGGATCCCCCGCGCTATTTCTGAGCGTGGGATTGGGGGGGTCTCCTTCCGAAGAGCGCCAACGGTGATCTATGTCTACAATGTCAGTGGGGGACTTGAAGTGAGAGCGTCCGCCTGGGGGTAAATGTGAATAGCACTGGTCATGGGAAATTTTGCAGATTCTCCACCGAGTTTCCATGTTTTTGCCAAAAGAAAGAACCGTACATAGTGGCAAAGTGTTCGCTCTTTTGTCAAGATACCGGCCACCCTTTAAAGATGTGATAGTAGCATGAACGCTAGTGCCGAGCTTCTTTCACATTCTTTTACTGCAAACACGCGCACCATGATGCGACCATACTCATTGTGTCTCAGCGGAGCCATAGTAGGTACGAATTGTCTGCAACATTCCGATCTTTGGCAAAACTCCTATAACACGTATACACTAGCACACGGCAAACTAACGATGACTAAAAGAGCGCTCGAAGCAATTTGGACGCAATGCCGCGCGTTTAAACCCAGAAACTGCGAAGTGGAGAAAAGGTGCAAGATCTGACATATCAACAAACCAGTCTCAAACTATACTTCGTTCCGCATTGAAGTCTCTCAGCCTGCTGTCTACTACCGATACAGCTCATAAATGTTCTCGTTTTACTAGTCGATGCTATCAATTGTTGTCTTGGCATCCCCCAGCTTTGCAAACTGCTCTAGAAGCTTGAGCCGGCGCTGCGCGTACCATGCGTTTTCCTCGAGGCAAAAGTCGTCCGGAATGCCTGCCCCAAGTGCCAGCTTTTTTTCAACCAAGTGCACAAGATGGTGAAGTACGCACCCGGTGATCGACTCCTGTAGCTCCACTAATCTTTCCGGGGGTATCGGCGCCTTCGCGTAGGAGGCGTCCATCAGCGCTGTGCCCGCGCGAGCTGCAAAGTGCCCGACTTTCTCCATCGCATCCCGGTAGAGTCTGGGGACGACTTTTTCGAGGAGCAGGGCACGGAGGGTGTCGAAACGGCGGAAATTGATGTGGTTCTTTCTGCCGGAAATCAAATAGTCCCGCTTAAATGCCGCGTCAACCGCCGACAGAAGTGGCGGCAGGAAGGAATCGTCGCCCGTTGCTTTTTGGCAAGCTTCGAGAAGATTTCTTGCCCGTTTCTCGCATCGGAGGGCCCACTCTGGACTGCCCCAGCGCTGGCGACGGCCAATGTCCATCGGCAGCTTAAACAATTGGCTGAAACTGTTGTTGCTGCCGAAATCTAGATATTGAAGGTCAGAGTGCTCCGGATTTCGCTCTCCAATCTTTCTGATGTCGTCGCACAGTGACTTCAGACGTATCTGCAGAAAAGGTGATGTCCACGGTGGATTTTCCCGGCAATAACAACCATGAACAGACAAGCTTAGAACGGGTGGTAGCGCGGCTTTGATATCGGTGAACGGTTTAACTGAACAGTGCTCAGTGCGAGGGCGAGCTAGAGCGTTTCGTGTTTTTACTGTCGCCTGGACTTTGGACTTGAGCTACTAACACGCATTTGAAAGGAATCAGATCGGTACGTACAACTTTCTGACATCTTAAAAACTTGCGAGAGGAATTTTAGCTTCTCCATACCAATTGATCTCCGCACCAACAACATCTTCTGATGGCAACAGATTGAGGAGCTTGACGAAACGAGTATGAAAAATGATCAAATAACCGGTAATTTGTACAGTATGATCAATATGCTTTGATTGAAACGCGTACCTCCTTACGTAAAATACCCAGCACTGCACAAATTGACATCTCTCCCACCGGTTTACCCAAGCGTTTGATTGCTTCCCGCACTCTCAAGGTCCTCATAATCAGGGCGTTTTGGGCCCTGGGCTTCCACTCTCGAACGATGTACTTGCTGAACTCGTCGTCCAGGCACTTCAGCAGATTTGGTATTGTGATCCTCTCCTGAATTCTCCGCTCGAACTCCACGAGGTCGCAGCCACGTGGCAGATTATCACGCTTTAACACGTGGCTATTTTTGAAGACGGTGTCCTCAAATTGCGCGCGCTCGAATTCTGTTGCGGCGTCCAGACTGACCTCCCAACGCGTGCAGCGATTTACGACGGCGAAGCAGCCTGCGAACTCAGTACCTTGAAGCTCCGGGTCGTCTGCAAAATTGAGCTATAACACATCTAAGAAACTAGACCTTCTGCGTTTTGTTCTAAATTGGTGAAAGCCGAAAGGCCGAAACAAAAGTCCTGGTCGATCGAAAATCCTTAACCGGCCTCACCGTTTGAACAAATCACGGCGCAGACAGACAGGAGAATCAGAGATTGCATTTTCCTTCTTCAGGTACTTTGTTTATCCGGATCAGACCCTTGCTTTCCAAGGATTTGACCAGGGGACTCGAAGAAGGACTAGCCCAGGACGGACTTCACTCGCAACAGAGCGGACTTTGTCAGCTTCGAACTTAGTACTGGGGTGAGAGGATGAAGAATGCTTTCTAGGTTCCGGAATGAAGCAGACCTGAGATCCCAAGGATACGGTCAACGATGTACGGCTTGACGTTACGCGGAACAACTTCGTCTGCCTTGGTAAACACCAGGATCGTGTCCTTGCAGCGGTCCTGTTCTTTGACCATGGCCAGCGCGCGCGCGGTGGAAAGGGAGCCTTTGCTCCCTTCAATCACGCACAAAATGCTGCAAGCGCGGATCAATTGTGTATAAGGCAGCCGATTGAGATTCATGATCAGGGCAAATTTAAGCTGCTCCAATATTATTCTTGATGATGGGCAGCTCTCGGCCCAATGGACGATTCGTCTAGGAGTCAGGTACAAAGCATTCTCCTGATCTGTCAGAGTGAAGACGAAAGGCGGCGCCTGCAAGGGCCTGTCAAGGGAGCTTCTCCATCCTTTGCATTGGAGTCAACGCAATCGCGATGCTCGCAAAAGATCTTGATAATAGTCAGAGCTCAAGGGAATCACGGCGTGTGAGAAGCATCTTATCATCTGACATGTTTGCGCCCAGCTAAAAACAACTTAGCATGTTTTCATAGTGATCCTGAAACAGCATTGCACACTTGAGAATCGCAGCTGCTGTAATCTGCTCAGACACAATTAAGTGGGTTGGTTGCAGCTTGCAATCAACTCAACTTGAATGGGTCGCATTTGTGCTGGTAATGAAAAGAGTGCCACGGGAGAGTCAAGCAATTGGCTTTTACAAACTTGGCTTACATGCATTCCTTTTCCAAGTAGCTCTGCACGATGGCTTCAGTGATGCCTCTAGCTCCGGTGCTCGTGTCTTGTCGAATGCCTGGCAGATCGACGCATTCCAGAGTGGGAACAGCCACCTGCAAGTACAATTGTCGACTGAGCTGTCAGGTTGGTCTCATTGGCGAAGTGACAAACATTTTACATACCGTTCTACGTACACGACAACACTGCCACCACAGCAGCTCAATTGCTAGTCTCCTTCGAAGCACACATCTGTATCCGTTTGCAAGCACGGTTATGAAAGATTTAATGATCCAGTATTGGAGATTGAAGCCAACACCGGCTGAAGAACAAGACTTTACAGTAACGTCGCGAAAGTGCATATATCACCGAAGGCTGGACCACCTCGAATTCGCCTCACAAAAAGAAACATCGTCCATCAAGAATGATTAAGCAAGGTTTTTGGGCTAGCTGGTGAGTAGTTTTTCAGTAAATCGGCCTTTTTCAGAGTACGTAAGCAGTGACAAACCGGCCCGACGAATTGATAGCAAGGCTTACATCGAAGATCGAGATGACGATCTCCTTCTCCGAGTATTGCGGGGACTGTGCTTCCGTAGCAGGCGTTTCGGCGTCCATCAGCTCCGTCACAGCGCCCAGGATCAAGTCCCGCGAGGCCAGCTCTCGCGACACATGTCCCTCGCAGGACACCACAATCTTGGCATCCTCCTCCCGGGCTACCTGCATATGTCGCGACACTTCAGGAATGTTAAGCTTTGATTAAGAATGGTTGTAAGCTCAAACCAAAAACTGAAATCCTAACCTATAAGATTCACCCGTTCCACACCGGTAGCCACCCTAAACCCCCTACCCGTCCCACCAGTATTTCTCGATCTAGTGAACAGCAAGCCCAGTGAACAGTAAGCATAAGTTTTCATTAAGTCCTGGTTCATTTCCGGAAATCCGGGATCCCCAGATACACTGGAACATATCGGACTTACGCGAGAACAAAAACTTTAACCCTTTAGTTTGGGGTTACTAAAAACCTTAACCCAAAGGATCACCCGCTCCGCACACGTATCCACCCTAGCCCCCTAACTAGCCCTACCCGTCTCCGTTACTGTTCACTGGCTGTTACTCTTCACTACATCGATCGGGATGTCCCACTAGGCTGGTGAGCTTTCCATCCCTAAAGCTTCCCATTCTTAAATTGTCACTGCTTTACCTGCATCAGCTTCAGCCGAATGGGCATGCGAGTGCATACGCGCTCCGCCCGGGGGAAAACCGGGCACTTGTGATGCTCTCGAGCAGGCTGGACTTGCCCGCGCACTCGTCCCCGATCACCACGATCTGCGGCAGCGGCGGCAGGTTGCGGACGGACCCGTCAACCACGCTGATCGCTTTCGTCAGGACGCCGAATTTGCTACCCAGCAGCTGCCTCGAAAGGGACGGCACATGGGCGCCATCGACGGCGGCGGGCGCCTGATCTGTGGCTCCCGGGACCGCCACGTGGGAGCGTGAGGTTGGTGGAGCAAATCCCATCGGTTCTTGGGAAGGCGCTTCCCGTGGAGCTGGCAGCAAAGCCTCGGGAATGGAGACAGAGCCTATGGATTCTGGCCCAGTCCCGGAGGCACGGTAGGAAGAGTCGCTGGCAGAGATGCGCGGGTGGGTGACCATTCTCAACCTGTCACAAGGATAGCGTGCATTCAGAAAACCTAATCATCTGAAACTCGATGTTGAGAACGTACTACAATCGCGCCAAGGGTTGTGAAGTAGGACCTACTTTGAGACCAGCGCGCGGGGCAGGCCCAGTCGGTAAGTATCTCACGACACCGTTGAGTTTGACAGCGACTGCCAGTCCTACTCAAGCATCTAAAATAGAAGCTCAGAATATCGAAGGAACCAAAAAGAGTAGGGGAACCTTAGTCTTCACGGCAGTAAGAATCCCCTACCCAGGAATCAAGATGCAAAGAAAGGCCTATATAAACCCTGAGCCAAAACTTTTACAAGGCTGACATTCATAAGAAGCATGACCTGGGCACCACTAGTTCCTGCAACCGGAACGCAGTGTCGTAAGTTTCTGCTAAAATGTGACCACTGGATAATTCGGTTTTGAAATCTGTAGCGTGTAATCCAGCCAAGGTTGATTTTTCGATCCGGCCTTAATGAAGCTGTTACTGATCTGGCGACGTCCGCTTTGCTGCTGGCAGCCGCAAGCCACTGGAATGGCGGAAACAATCAGAGAGTCGCTCAGAAGGGATGAACAAAAGAACTCTCGTTGCTCACACTTTAGCTTTGAGTTATATGCACTCCAGTTGGAAACTCGGAAACCTCGTTTATGGAGGAAGTTCGTACTTTAGGTCTAGGCCTGCACCGGAAAAGCTTACCTTGGCGGGATTATGGCGTCCTATTTCGATAAGCAAAGCACTGGAATTGCTGCAGAGCAGTTTTCCGGATTCGAAGTCTGGTTGTATAGGAGCATACTTACATCATGTATGCTTGAAAACAGCACTGCATAAAGAGAAGCACGAACAGTCCTCCTACAGTGTCCCCCTTTTGATTTCGTGTGTTCTGAGAACGGTCATACCACGACCGTCTCTGCTTGGAAAGCGTGCTGACTGTGAGTACCCGTAGAGTCAACGCGTCGGCGATCCTATCTAGAGTCTACTGAGGTAGTACTCTCAGACCTGGGTCAACTCGGAGACGGTCAACTTCCGCTTTGAACCCGGAAAGATTGGAGTCGACTCAACTCATTGCAGGCTGTGTCAAAAGGATCAGAGGCGACGTACATCGTACTTTGCATAGTGGTGTGCGCACGTGTAAGACGGGCCTAGTGAGGTCGAATATGTTCACATGTTGGAAGAGAGTCTCCGGCCCGCTTGCTATTGTGGTGCCGCCGCAGTATTCTCGGACATGCATGCAGCGTGGCGCCATGTAAGACTGGCGCCCGAGAAATGTGTGAATCCAGCTGTGGGTGATAGTAAGCCGGTGGGTGCAAATTAAAGTAGAGCCCTTTGCCGGGTTTTGGTCTTCTGGTCTTCGGTCAGGAGGTCAAAGAGGTCCTCCAAGTCTTCCCAGGCCGCTAAGCACAGGTCAGCTGTTGATGACGTTAATGTCGACTATCGTACAATTCAATGATTGAAGGAACCGCAATCTCGTTTGGTTTGCGCGCGTGCAGTTTCTGTATCTTCTTGGGAATTGAAATTCCGTCGATTCCTGCATTACCGTACGTCAGAGAATTAAGATTCATATCGTACGGTAGCAGCCAGGATTGATGACTGTACCGTACGATCGAGCTGGATGGTTCTGATCGACGGTCGCGGTTCGAGTCTCAGGTACGCGTCGAACAACTTCTCGGCCCGTCGAGCGGCAGTCGCGGCCGCGCGGTTGAGCTGTAGAAACACGTACGTAGGTTTCACACTGACCAGATAAAGAAGTGCTCGAAATCCCAGCCGGGCAGCCGCTCATCTCCGGTCCATTAATTACACAATTTGAAATATTAAAAGACGTGCATTTGTCGTACCTGAGAAAGGTACTGAATATCGTACCCAAAATAAGTGACCATTTGGAGACAAGCGTACTGCGTCGTGCCGCATTGAGATAATCAGCTCGCCACAGGCTCTCACGCTTCGACTCTGATTCGACCAAAGACCTAGACTTCTGTGTATCTGGTCCTGAAACATAGATTCTTGGTATGCTATAACTCACGGCACCGTACGTTGCTTTTGCAACCTTACTTGAACTGATTGCTTTCATCGAACTGTGTACGCATGTTGCAATGACAGCTTAGTCTACAGCCCGGGCCATCAATCGCAAATCCTTTGTCGGTCGCTCGACGACTAGCGGAAATCATATCAACTGAACAGTCACGTCAACAGTCTACGTATGCCAGCTACAAGACTGCTATGCAGTGAAGCGGAATCCCGTTGAGTTGCACCTTTCTTTTTAGTAGAGAACCAGAAGTCGAGAGTCCGAGCCAAGCAGTCCATAATCATGCTGTCAGAATTTAGAATATCATCAACTCCACAGTATGTAGCAAACCTATGTTCAAATGCCTTGGGGCTGCCTCAAGAGCCTCCATTTCGCGTAATCTTATGCAAATGGTTCCTGTGCATGGTTTGATTGCCTCCGCGCGATATGCCGTGATGCTGCGGTACTGGAGTTTAATACACTTGATCCCTTACTTCTGGCGGCTGAGAGATAGAAATCATGACGGATTGTCCACTCGGAGGCAGGGCCTGATATTTCTCCATAGAGAAAACAAAGCGCCCTACTACTCGTGCATATGCATGCATCATTGCGCCAGGAAACAATTGATCAGGCATATAAGTGATCATGATTATTTGTCAAGTAGAAGTGAATTCTCATTTGGGCCCCGGACTCATTCTCAACCAGACGCATTCGTACAGTGTTGAAAGGATGATTGCAGAGATGGCTGAGTAACATTCTAACCAGCAATTACAGTACTATTCCTAATCTTGGCATCTAAACAACGACTAGTAGTACTAATAATTCGCTGACTGCGGCTACGCCAAAACGGCAAAACGCAATGTACGTCACATGTGACGTTCCCTTCGTTCAGGCTGAGTGTATCCGACGTAGTGGCGACGTATAGAGTCTTTGAAGTAATGGACGTACTGAGAACAAGCCTGGCTGTCTGCTCTCGGGCTTTGGCTATACCAAACAATCACTTATAAGGCCGAGCCAGACTCTTTTGCGTCCTTCGACGGAACGTCGCAACTCCTGGTGACACGCTAGGGGACGTCATTTGAAGTAACACGAAGCAGTGGCCACCTACCCTCTCCTCGACTACTATTCAGAACTCACCCCTACATGTACATCCAGGCCGTTTATTGTTCTTAAGTTATACAAGAACCGAAGAAACGGCGCTAAAGCCCACGGCAAGCACCAAAACCGCTCTCGGTAGGTCCCTTGACGCTCCACCCATTACCGTCTGCAACGACGCTTCCACGGCCCCCACTGCTGACGTCACGCGAGGCACCAGCGCCGCCGCGACTCCGCGCGCGGCTGACGTCAGCGCCGTAGCGTTGGGCACAGCCGCCGGCCGCGTGGCTTCGACCGCTGGCGTCATCAGGGGCCCCGGAGAGGGCGTCGCTGACGTCATCAGAGGCGTCGGAGCCGGAGATGCTGACGTCACCGTTGCGTTCGAAGCACCCGGGGGAAGCAGAGAGGCGGTCGGGAAAGGGGTCTGGGGTGTTGGGGCAAACGAAGAATATTGAACGGGGGGGGCTGAGCTTGGGTTGGGGATCGGAACTGGTGCTGAGTCAGGCGCCCGGACTTTCAGGCTTGGAGTCGGGGAGAGAGCATCTCGGGGGGATCCCCCTGGGGCCGTGTTCGGTGCGAGCACCGCAGAAGCCGAGTCTGGCGTAGCCCGGGGGGATTTCTCGGAACCCGAACCTGGCGCAGCCCCGGGGGATCCCCCGGGTTTCGAGTCTGGCGCAGCCAAAGGGGATCCCCCAGGACTCGAGACTGGCGGCTGCCGCCCCGGGAAGATTATGCTCGGGAGCAGAATGATGGCGGGGGGGTCGGTTGACGCACTCGGAGGTGGCGCACCCGCCCCTGGTTTAATCTTCCGGGGGGCGACGACGCCGGGGCTTTTGCGGGGGGGGCTCGGGTGCGCATCTTCCGGAGGGACCCCCCTAGCTTTTGCAGGGGCTGGTGGAGGTTTGGCTTGAAGTGGTTTGGCGGTGGCTTTCTTTTGCTTTTCTAGAGGGGGGGGAGAGGGAGCGTGCGCCGGGGGGGGTTTCGAGAACTTCACATTCTGGGGGGCCGGATGTGGCATTTTCTCCGAGGGGGGAGAGGATGCAGGGGGGTTAGGCTTATGACTGCTGGAAGGGGTTGCTTGCGTCCCCCCGCCATGGCTTGTGTGAGATCGGCTCTGACTCTCACGGGGGGTTTTGGTTGAGAAAGTTTCTTTGGGGGGGTGGTTTTTGCTCGTGGCGGGAGGGGGGGGGCTCCCTGAGTTTTCCCCCCCCCTCGCAGGGGGACCCTCCCTGCTTGCAACGGCTCTTTTGGTCGCCGGAACTAGGTGTGCGGGACTCGATGACCTTGCACCGTGAGGAAAGGTTGTCCGCGTAAAGGTTACCGCAGCCAACCGAGGAGCAGCAGAGGTAACGCTCCCCCGTGCTATCACTGGGGGCGTTACAGCGGACTGGGTAGTCAGAGGCGGGGCCGGAAGAGCCGCACACCGTTTCTTGGGGTGGACCTGCATAAAGGAGCGTTCGAACTTTTAAGCAACCCTCTTGAATCTAATATCAGATCGGATCAGATCTGGAATAGAATCAGGGATTTATTCTCTCAGACAATCCAATGTAGCTTCAAAACCGATTCAAACGTGAAACAAACGGTGGATCGCTTGAACGATTCGATTCGTAGCAATTCTTGGGTAAGGGCGAAGCTCCAACCCACAGAATTCATTCTTCGCACTTGTTTTATCAGCAAACGGTGCCCGTGCTTTGAAAGGACCCTTTCATTTAGGCATCATTCAAGCAGCCAAGTATCTTCAAAGGTTTCTCAACATCGTCGACTGAACCCCGTTGAAAACTGGCTGAGGCGAACACCTGACTGCAAAGAGAAAGGGGTAGCAAACACCATTAGAAGCAGAGATGCAAGCGCTTTTTCCAGATTGTGCCCTTACCGTCCCCTTCCACAACTCCTGCGGAGCACAGAACGGCAGCCAAGAATAACAGACACGCCTTCTTGAAACCCAGGGTTGCCATAACCCGGAAGTTAGCGACCCCCTTCAAGTGATTTCGTCAGACTCGCCGGTGCTAGGCGGCAGGGGCCAAACCTATCTCGCCACGTAAAAAGCCACGAGTGTCCTGGCTCGGAAAGGGCCAAGTTGACCAGACGAAAGCTTCACATAGAGAAGTGCCTATTGACGAATGAGGCGCTGCCTTTGGCTTTTGCTTGCCGCACTAAGAGCGGGGAAACAACAGTGAGTTCTTTTGGTATGAACATGTGGGCGCTATCTCTATCTCATCACGATCGTGGTGCTCATCTTTGGGCGCTTCGAAAACGAGTCCCCTCTTCATCATGGGCTTGCTTCAAGTTCTGTTGAAGCTAATAATCAAGTGCCAGCAAAGAAGAGAATGGATTCGGTGCCAGTCAATAAGCAGCACTGACTGTTCATAGTCGATAGCCAAGGTCGTCGATCGACTCACTTGAGCACTGCCCCAAAAGAAACAGACCCGGGGGGTGTCCAAGGTTGTAATTTCCTATTCAGCAAACCCCTGTTCCGGAGAGTTCTGTAATTCCGGCAAACCATCATAGGACTGGCCTCACAATATGCCGTTCACCGGTGTCGTTAAAGTGCCCCTACTCTTCCGATTTGCTTTTCTGCCTGTTCCCATGTATCCATCCTTGAAAATTCATGCATGTTTCGTCTCTTTTCGCTATTGTCTATATTGGTATCTTCCCCAATGCTTCGTATGTCGCCGACCGGGCGCAGATCCAATTGATGCAAACGTTCGCATACCCAGGGATCCGTTAGTGACCAGCCAATCATTACATGATTCAGGTGGCCTGGGCACAGTTCACTTCTCTTTACTCCACTATCGACTTGTCCGAGTGTCCCAGAGGCGGCCACGTCACCGCTTTCCGCCATTGCTGTTGCGGCCCCTAGCTGAGCCTTTAAGATCACAGAAAATGGTGTTGAGCAGCTCCGTTGCATACGATTCCGAGATGTTTTCAGAGATCTACATACCTTTTCTTAAAACGGTGCTTTTAAAACCCACAGCCCCAAAGGTAAGCAGGCACTTTTACCCCCTGCTGCAAATTACTAGTTGTTAGCGTACCTTTCCGAAGTTCGATCATCACGCGTTTTCTTTGATCCGGCCACTATAAAGGCCCTTTTTGTCACTCGTGCGTGCGCCGGGCCCTGGTCCTTGGGTATGCCGTGGTACCGGTCGTGTTGGTAACGTAATAGTAACGATCACTTGCAAGTTCAAAGAGCCGCTGCGCGTCGTTTTTGATCTTTTCAAACCGGTCGATGCTATGTAAATGCAAGTTAATATTACGTACCGTTGCACAAGTACGTATTGAAAATAAGCGCCGCGGCGGCTGGGCGCCCCCCAAACCCCCGATGTGAGAATAAAAATAAGTTTTAACAAGATACTAGTCGGACGGTATCAAGAAAGTCAAACCTTGTGTCGATGATATGAGCAGGGGACGGTCAGCTATAGCACTAATCAGCCCGGCAACTTTATCACAGGCGGCCTGTGATATGGTTGACTACTGAGTGACTCGAGCCCGGCCGTGATTTAATGGAAAGACTCTGATCCCGAGTACGGTATACGACAGGCCCGGTCTTCTAGGCTATAGCTTTGTTGGCACGGTGTCGATCCGTGCATGACTCAGGGCACGCCATTCAGAGCCGACGTGAGGGGTCGAATCATCTGATTACATCAGACCGGACAAAACAGTTTCGATCAATTGTCATGCATTGAATTGGCTTTCGAACGTAAGAACCAATATCTGGAGTAATTCGAAGCTAAGTAGGTTGTACATCCTGATGACTAGTTAGCCTGGACGGAAGCTACCGTCCGTACACAAGACATGGTATTCACAATGATACCAATCGCACACCCTAAGTTCTAAACCGTATCCGACCTAGGGCTCCTATATATCTTGCTCGCTACCTTCCAACACCTTCTTATTTGACTAGCTAGACTGAACGAGGCTATTGGACTCACCCCACATGGGATGTAAGTGAACGATTACATCTCATTCAACACTAAGAACCTTCCAACCGTTCCAATGAGCTTAGCTTGTACATAGATGGAACATAGTCTGCCAGGCCCTCTAATCAGTGCTCTCCAGACTTGCTACAAATTAATAGTGTGCATTCGACGCGTGGCGTGATATCAGCGACTATCAATTATGCATGGCACACTAAGTGCAACCTGCGAATAGTAAGACGCCACTGCTATACGTGCAGCATGTGCGGGCTTTTAGCGAATACGTATGACCATGTTCTGTACAAAGCTTGTAATGCGGTTTGCTCCGCCCTTGGACCTTGGCACCCCGGACAACTAAATTTCGTCCACTAGGAGCTGGGTATACCAGTCCCCATGAATGCGGCTGTTTATGTCAGCCGTTCGCCCAATCTTTTCCGCCAATCCTAAAACATCCTCTACCAATAGACTCGCCCCAGCCCGCTTGAGCGCAATCAAAGCTAGCGCCTTTCCCAAAGGGGTCTTCGCCCCAGCGAAAACAGCCCCCCGCAGAGCAGCCGTCAGAGCCTTCCCCACCAAAAAAAAGATCGCGTCGTCCGGCCTCGTCGCTTTTGCCAAAAGTGACGTCATCTGCTTCTCCCCCACGTCAGCCCAGTCTTCCGAATTGATCCCCTCGCCCACCGCCTCTGCAAGCAGCTTCCCAACTGCTGCCAAGTTGACCGCCGGGTTATCCAACAGGTTAGCTAACCGCTTCTGCGCGGTTTCGACAACCGCCTCCAGCTTTGCCCCGGGTTTCACCCCCCTGCTCGCGAGCACCTGGCGGGTTAGCAGCAACCCAGTAACCATAACCAAAACCCGCTGGTACCCGTTCTGCACTTCGCGGATTCTGCCCGTATCTAGTTGCAACGTCTCCGGGAGGGTTTCCTCGGTAACCCCCTGAGTTAGCGAGGCGAATCTGAGCAAACCCAGCTTAACCAGCGTGCTTGGGGCGGTCCAGTCAACGGGTTTTGAGGCTTCTGGGGTTGGGGGAGTGCCCGCTTCTCCCAATCTCGGAGGGGGGGTCCGGGACAGCCCTGTGCGCATGGGGGGGAGAGGAACAACAGCTCGGCCTGCAGAAGAAGGCACAGAAGGATGATATAGGAATTGCGTCAATTGCAATCAGATAGAAAACCCAGAAGGGGGTTTAGACGGACTTTTCTGTCATGCACTGCAAAAGATGGAACGCATGGTTCTGATCACGAGCATGTTTGCATCATTCAACGAAGAAAGAGAATTCCAGAACACAAATTTCTTTTCATACACGCCAGAAGCCACGGGACTCGACCGAGACCGAAGCGAAGTCTTTTTTTACTGCGATTGAATCCAGCCAAACCCGGAGAAGACTAGTGGAGTAGACGGTTGTCAACGCATTTCGCCTTTTGAAAAGCCAAACGCTTCCAGACCGACTGATTAGACTAACAAAAGTCTATGCTTGGTGACTATTCAACGTCCAGACTGAGCTTGTTCAAGGTTAAAAGCCTTGTTAGCAGTAACCCACCAGGCAACCCGGCCGCTGTGGCGACTGCCTCCGCCGCCTCATGATCCGTCCGGGCTGCGCCGACGCTGGCACTGACGTCAGCCAGCCACGTCACCGTTCTGGGCAGCGCCACGTGGACGTCTTCCGCAATTTTGGGGTAGCGCTCGATGAACCACCTGAGGAGAAGGAACAGACGAATTTTTCACCAAGGGAAAACAGGCAGGAAAGGAAGGAACTTGAGTCGTCAGTGTTTGAAGGAAGATGGAACGTAAACCTCTTTGCCAAAAGCAAGTCATGAAAGACAAGGCATGAAATTTGCTTCTGGACCCAGTACGGACACAAAGACACAATCAAATAAAACTACTCTGTGCCAGTACTCCGTCTGGGCCAAAGGCTGTCTACGCCTAGATGTACCAGTCTTTTTTCGATTGCGGCAGCAAAAGACAAAACGTCAGAAAGGAGCACCAGTCACCTAAGAATTGATGAGAACGTCCTCAGCCACCGCAGTCTTGGGAAACATGACGTCACGCCACATAATCATGACGTCAGCCCTCACCTCCTCTCGTAGTCCACCCCCGCACTCCCCTGGAGCACCGGCGCGAGCGCGCGTAGGCGCGCGTTGCTGACGTCACGCTTCAGCACCCTCAGCCTCTCGAACACGTACCTCAGCCCCTTCACCACCGTGTCCGCCGCCCTGCTCCGTTCCGTTCCGTCCTGTCCCGCCGTTCCGCTCGAGGCCGTTCCGCCGGAAGAGAGCTCGGAGAGCAGGGCCTGGAGCGAGGCCTTCGCTTCTTCGTCGCGGGCGGGAGCGCCGAGGCGAATGATGACGTCAGCAGCATAATGGAGGAGGCCAAGGAGGTGGGTGTAGTCGACGGTAGGGTTGTTCTCGAGAATCTGCAAAGGATTGGGTTTTACGTCGTGTCATGATTGAGCGGCACCGATAGAGGACAACGACACCTTCTGTCGAAGGTGCCTTTCTCCTCGTACTAGCAGACTCATGCTTTCATTGTTAGGGTGGGGCTTGGACGTTAGCGGCTTGAGCGACGATTCCAAGAAGGCGGCAAATAATCACTTCTTTGCGTGCCAGGGTATCAAACTGCATCGCTTCAAAGCAGGCGGACTTCATCGCTTCGAAGAAGGCAGACTCCCCTCGTGTGTTCGACTCGCAAATTGTGTCCCCCTAGACAGAAGAGATGTTTCTCAACCCTTGCTAACATAGATGAGAAAGACGAGAGCAATGCCAAACTAGTTCAGAAGCTGCTGAACCTCTGACAACCTCATAAATGAGTCAATCCCGGCCACCCAATCAGTTCTTGTTTACCAATTAGAACGCGAAATAGCCGTTCGAAACCGCCACCGCTGGCGCACAGCGCTTTTACAAAGAGCTAGAACAACTTGGCCTTCCCAAAGAACTAGATCGGGGAGGAAAACACCCACCTGCTGCAAAAGCTCCGTATCCATCCTTTCCGTGAGCTCTTCCTTCCACTTTGCCGGCACTAACCCCTCCAGTTCTCCCCTAACCTCCGCCACTAACCCAACCACGCGCGCCCAATCCGGCGGGTTTGCTACTAACTTCTCCTTGACCGAGTCCCAGAACGCTTTCTCCATCGCGACCCCCAGTCGCGATTTGAACACATTAACATCGAACTCCGGATCGTCGGGATCGGGCTCGTTTGCCCCTGCTGACGTGGCAGCTGACATCAGCCGCCAGTCGGGGTCGTACAGCAGCTCGTGGACCATGTGGATGTTCTCGAAGCCGCCACGTGGCAGCGTCTCAGTGGCTGCCGAAAGCAGCGGTGCCCTGCTCAGGACGGGCGACTTTCCGAGCGTAAAGAGGGGAGCATAACCCTCTTGGTTAAGCGAGGGGGTTCCTGTATCCTTTCCGCCAAACAGCCGCCTCGCAATGGGCGACTTTCCAGAACCCCTAGAGCTTCTGGCGTCCGCCGCAGCGGAGGGCTCGTCAGCCGGAACCTCTAGCGGTGCTGGCTTCCTTGATGGGGAAAACTTGAACCCGCTCCGTGCCGGGGGGGTCCGTTCGCCCCCGGAAATCTGCCCCCCCGCCTCGGCCGCTTTCCCGCCAAATGCCGCCGACAGACCCCCGACCACCGGCGCCGTCCTCCCGCTGACGTCACCGCTGACTTCACTCCCGATCCGGTTTCCGAGCGAGTCCACCTGTACGATCTCGACGGGAACGTCTAGCGGATTCCCGGACTGGGCCTCGGCCCTCTGCTGGATGAAGCGCGCTCTAAGGGTTTCGAGCGCGGCTTCCATGCGTGCCAAACCTTCTTCGCCGGTAAGCCGGTTGATACGCTCCCGCAGGAGGCCCTGATCGGAGGAGACTTGCACGCGGATCGCCTCTTGGTCGGGGGTGAGGTGCGGCGCATCTTCGCCGTGCAAGGCCTTTGTGTACTGCGCGAGGACGAGAACCATATTTGAGGACGTTTTGTCGAAATTGAAACGAAGCCTTAACCCTTCCGCATGTTCTTTTGCTCTTGATCTCGCTTTTGCGTTGCAGTGCGAAATACAAGTGTAAACGACTGGAATACTGGGAATCCAAAACGCATCCTATTCAGGGTCACTTACAGTCACCTTGAAAGTCTTTCGTCAGGCTCTCCCAGCTTCACGGATTCCTTGGCCAAAAGTCTATGGGGATTGAAATCAAAGGCTTTTTAACATTTCCTTGCTCTGACCACTTAACATGCCAGATAGCTCACGCAGGTGTCCAACGGGAAGTGAAAGTCTTCCATTAGGACGGTCACAGAACAAAGACCTACTCGCATTTTAGTAGCCAATCTGCATTTTCTTGACGAGCCATGACGGTTCACAGCTCACCCAGCGAACCCGCACCAAAACAGAAGAACCAAATCTCGCGTATACAAAAATCAGTTACAAAAAGAGGGACCTGTCAAACGACAATGAATTATCTGTACATAAATTCGTACAAACGAGCTTACCTGGTGCATCGACGACTCCAGTTGTAGCGCCACTTTGATGAGGTCCCCTTCCAGGCTGCCCAGGTCCTTCACCTTCCAGGCGACGAACTGATCCAAGTAGTGCAGCCACGCCGAGTCGAAGTCTTTGAGCTGCTCTGCAAACCTCTTCTTCCGGGGAGAGGACGCGGCAACCGCAGGTCCATCGTACGACTCTGCAGGAAAAAACCGCGTTTATTACACTTTCGACTTCGAAACAAGTTTGAACAGTACACACATCGAAACCCCAGGAAATCTAGAATCGAAAACCTCTTTGTTGCGGCGGTAAACAGCGTTGTCCTAAAGAATAAGAGGAAGAGTTGGACATGCGTGAAACTGAACAGATCTGTTCGTCGGCCAAAACCTTTCTACAGCTGGAAATCTTCCTCCCTCAATTACAAAATATTCGTTTGAGAGACATGAGCATGCTCTCTCCTTCGACCACAAACCACCATCTGGACCAAGAAAAGCAGCTGCTCGTAGGGCTTCGATGTGCATCGATGCAAACGACGTCGTGAGAGAAGGGCAGCCAAGAAAATTGAGGACGAAACCGCATGACCTTCAACTCAATCTATAAAGTTCTGAAGGCACTACAAAACAAGGGGTTCCGTACCTCTGGGGCTGCTGCCCCCCGAATCGAAGTTGCGCTCCACAACAGTAATCACTAGCTCCTCGAACAAAGGGAGGAGCCGCTTCGAGGCCTCAGTCAGGGCGGCTTCCCGGGGACCTGCAAAAAAAAAGGTGCTGAGGTGCCAATATTCTGTTGGTCGCATTTCGGAGCATGACACGTGGCACAGTCCTCGCTTGTACGTAAGTTGAAAGCCCGATTTGAAGCTTCCCAAGCGGGGCGATCTTCTGGGAGAGCCGAATTCTGACAGGTGTCAGAGCTTTTGCTGACGTATCGAGATGACGTTCAGAGCTGGCAGATCGAAAGGAGGAAAGCACAAAAGTGGAAATCGAAAGCTCTTGAAAAGGCAATTACCGACCAGTCCTTGGTAGACATTGCAATTTGGCGGAGGCAGAACAAGAGAACAAGAGTGCAATATCAGACGGAGAACATGCCACCTCCTCAAAACGAAGATCGCGGACGTCTAACCGACGCACATGAGCGTGAGAGGAAAGAACGTGCTATCAAAGTCCCAAGCACGTAATTGACAGCAGAGACGGCTGTTATTAAGCTAAGCCCTGTAAAGGCGATGCCTCCTTGGAAAACCACGACCTGGAAACTTGGGCAGAACGAGAGTGCGCAGAATCTGACTCACCCCTCTCGTTGAACACAGCCTCTTGATGCCCCAAAATCATAAACGCGCACAGAAACACCCGCGCCGGGTACCGCTCCGAGAAGGTATTCACACCCGCGGGGCTGTTCCCACCGGGGCTCGGAACGCCCTTTGGGCTGCTCCGTAGGCCACTGCGAACGCCTGGGCTGGGGTGTGAATGCGCTCCTGGGCTGCGGTGTGAATGCACTCTGGGGCTGCTGGAAGGGCTTGGAGACGGGCTGCGACGGGGGCGGGACGCTTCGGAGAGGCGGCGGAGTAAATGCTCGACCGTCGTGCCCTTGTGAGAACCGTCCGAGAGCAGCAGCCTGTAAACAAGTGCATGGCCTATGTTAGCGTGAACACCGTGACTGAGAAGATAAGGGGCTTTGCACCGACAACTAGCCGTTTGTGTTCCCAAAAAATCTGTTGCAATTCAACTGAAACGTCATGAGGTTCTTCAAATGACTGCTGTTCGCAAGGGACGGTCGTGCATGCTTCGGACAGAAGCGGTCTGACAGCGAAAACAAAACCTGACGGAAAATGCAAGCTTTTTGGTTCCCTCCTGTTATAGATGTTTTAGATGTTTTGAACATCAGGGCCTAGGCACCACCTCGACATAACGAAGACAAGATGCTCCATGACAGAGGAAGGAATGCTCCATGAGCGGGTATAACAAGCTGTTCATGTACTCGGTTCTTCAGAAGGGCCTCCGTTTGAGGTATGCAGAAACCTCTGGAGTAGCGAACCCACGATCTCAAAAGAACAACAGTAAGTAAGGACGAGATTGAGATTCCGCGCACCTGGTCTCTAGCCTTGCAAGCAGCTCCTTGGAAGCCTTGACAGTCTTTGCTGACGTGATCGACCCGGCGAAGCGCTCGAACGGCAGCTTGGTTGCGGTCCCCTGGCTGACGTCACACGCCTGGAACTCCTCCGCCAGCTGGGCGGTCGTCTTGTTCTGCTGCCGGAACGCCTTCCAGTGCCTGCAGGAGCCGAAAGTGGTGTCAAACGTCTATGATATCGGACAGGCTCGTAACAATGACACTCTTTGACAGCTACGCGCAAACCTTCAGCCTGGCAGTTGCCTATTCCTACTGCAAGACTCCAGAAGTCACACCCTTTCCTGACAGCATCCCTGCTGAGCTTGTCATCAGGCGAACGCCTTGAATCGCGAACTCCGATTGCACAAAGGAACCGGGTCCACGTCCGGGGTTAACAACTGCGAACTAAAGCTGGCAATTGTCGTTGCCAGTTTCGAACTTCAAAGCCAGAATACCCCAACCCAACAATTCTCAAAAGCAACCCGGAACAGACACAGCATACAAGAGTAAAGGCACCTCACCTCGTGAGTTTTCAACTGATTCCTGAGCGGCGCCTGACGCCTGATACTGAGGCCGACCCTTTTACGTTGGTTCGAAAAGCCGAAGAAGTCCCGGGTTGACCCCCGAAAAACATACCTAGCAAGTTTCCTGCTGAGCTTGTCCCCGTGCGAAGCCCGGCGCTTGAGGTTGAGGCTGCCCCTCTCCTGCTGCAGCTGCTGGCGGCGCGTTGACGCGCGCACCAGCTTCTCCTCCAGCTTCTCCTGCCGCGCGCGCGCGCCCTGGTCGCGCGCCTCCAGAACGGCCCGCGCAATTTCTCGTGCCTGGAAAGACGAGATGTCGAACTTTCAGATCCTATAGCTTTGCTATGTTGCAACTGTAGAATGGTCGAGGCATTCTCCCTTCGCCTGAAAGCGACAAGAAGTAGTACATGAATAGCTTTCAAATCATGAAGTTTTCCCCATTGCAAAAAGCACCAGCTTTTCCTCCGACTTCTCCTGCCGCCCACGCACGCCCTGGTCACGCGCTTCCAGAACGGACCGCGCAATCTCCCTCGCCTGGAAGGCGACAGGATGTAGGTTTCAATTCAAGGATTCTAAGAAGCGAGGCGTTTTTTTTCTGAGAGAAGCGGCAGTATGCTTTTCGAGCTTCTCCAGCAAGCGCCGCGCGCCCTCGATGCGCGCTTCTTGAACGGCCCAGGCAATCTCCCCCACCTAAAAGCAACGGAAAGTACAATGAACTCCAGGGTTTTAGAAAGACTCTTCGGTGACAATTTACAGAATTCTTCTCCAAATTCTCCTGCCGCGCGCGCGCGCCCTGGTCGCAGGCTTCCAGAACGGCCCACGCAATCTCTCGTGCCTGAAAAGATGCAATGTTCAACTTTCGGAGTCAAAAGCTTTGCTAAGTTGCGCGTTCAGAGCGCTCTAGACAATCTCCCTTGGCCTGAGAGCGACAAGAAGTAGGCTTCAGAGTTATTGCTTCCAGGTCTTCAGGTTATTCTCGGTTAAAAATCAGCGACTTCTGTTCCAGCTTCTCCTCCCGTGCGCGCTCCTTGGTCGTGAGGCTTTAGAACGGCCCATGCCATCTTTCATGATTCATCATTCGAATCCAGGGCCTCTAACATGGACCTTGGCGAGCATCTTTAAGACAGGGTCTCTTGCGCCTGCATGATTCGATGATAACGTGCAACACGTTCTCTCGATAGAGATGTCGCCCTGATGATCGCTTTTCAGGCTCCTCTCAAAACCATTTGGGAATTTCTAAGGACTTCCCGGAGTCCCCTGGAAATCTGTCAGGACCTTCGTACCAAAAACGTTCGGCAACGTAATGATACGAAGCACAAGATCTAGCAAAAGATAAGTCGTCACCGACTTTTGTTGCTCCCGAAAATCTTGTGTGTGCTCTGCCGCATTTCCCCATGCCCCTAGAACAAGGAAACCAGGACATTAAGCCGTAGGTCGGAAAGAAGGGATCCAACCCCTAGAAGCCCATCATCCCGCCACAGCAGAGAAACTGCGGCTGTCGTACCTGCAGATAGCGCTCCGCCGCCTTGCCCCGCTCCGCCTCCAGGAGCGCCGCCCTGCGCTGTTCCGCCTTCACGAGGCGCTGCCAGGTGGCGTCCCAGCGACGCTCGGCGCTGCCCTGGCGGCGCGCTAGGCGTTGCTCGTGAGACGCGAAGTAGGCGGCTAGGCGATCCTGGTCCCTTGCGAGCAGCTCGGTTCTGTGAGGATATAGACAAAAACATGTTTGGATTTGTAAATTCTGTTTGAATATGTGGAAGTTGTTAGGGTATGTTTAAATTTGTTTGAATCTGTTTAAATCTGTTGGGATACTACAAGGTTTGTTTCTTAGCCCTCACCGACAGATTATGATGCGGAAAGAAGTAACTACTGAACAAATCTCCAGTGGAGCTTCGCAATGGGCCTGCAACTAAGGTGCTGCTTGTGAGAGGCGAAGTAAGCGGCGGGGCAGTCCTGGTCACTTGCAAGCAGCTTCGCGACAGAGGGGAAAGGAAAATCAAAAGCAATACGGAAGACCTAGAAGGCCCCTGAGAGCAGGAACAAGGAGCCGCACAGAACAGCACATAGGATCCGAAGACTCAAGAGCACATCTGGCAACCCAAGCATGTGACCCAATCATCCACCAACACTTTATGCAGATTCTATCGCACCTGCATCCAACTTTCTCCATGCCATAGAAAAAGCCTTTGTGCGCACTCCTGAGTCTAGCTTCTCAAGGTCTGGACGTATCGGCTTTGAGGCTTCCTGATCTGCGGTTGCAGCCCTTTTGCAACCCACCAAAGATCCTTGTTCCCCTCTCCTATTCCAGATGATATGAAAACAAAGAGTCCCACAACCCCTTTTGGAGGAGGAAATCCATGCCAGACGATGAGACACGAAGCTGAGCAAGCGAATGCCAGAAGCTCACCGTTTCGCTTCTGCAGCAGAAAGCCGGGCCTCCAGCTTAGCCGCCAATTCCTCGCTCGAGAAGGACACCGGGACTGGGCTCTTCTGCTTTGGCTTCGCCTTGTTGGACAGCCAGTCAAGGAACTCCTTTCTGCAGAGGCATGTGTAATTAAGCTTACTACTCTTCATTCTTTTGAGAACCCAATAAGCTGAACATGGTATTTGGCCCAACGATGTTTTTACTTCCAAATCTTAGTGTTGACTGTCGAACCTTCAGCTGTGGCTCTGATCTGAGAGAAAGCCAGTATCACATTTGCATCGCTAATAACATTGAAGTCCAAACAAACGCCATTTATATAGAACCATACCACTTTGATTAGCAACAATGGTTTTCCGCAGGTAGAGTGCCGAGACCGACAAAAGCAGGGTAGCCCTCGTCATTTCTGTCTGACTAGGGCTTCGCAAAAGGCATTCATTAACACTGGTTCAACACTAACCCTCTTTTCTTGATTAATCCCTGCAGTCTCTCAGTGCTGTTGCTGGGCCATGAAAATGCAAGTGTAACCTCCCATCTTTTACCTTGCCTTTGGCGTTGCTAAAGTTCGATGACCTGGGGGGTGAGAATCACAGACTTTTATCCAAAAATTGCTTGACGGAGAGCATATTGAACAAAACGAGTTTGGCTTTCCAGCCCTGTTCCACGATTCAGAAACAAGGGAATGGTATCGTGCTGGAAGAAGATGACTAGGAGGTAAACAAGTTTCAGTTCAGACTAACCTCCTCTTCTCAGCCAAGATCAGCTTCTGGTCAATCTCTTCATTGCTGTAGGGCCGTGCGATCTCGCTACGCTCTGCCAGCCTCTTCTCCAAGCCCTTTGGGATGGGGCTGCCTTGCCCCTCCATTTCAATGTCAAAAGCCAGCGCCGATCTGGGGGATCCCCCGAGGCCGGTGACATCATCGCTGATGTCAATGGCAAGAGCTGGCCGCCGCGCCGATGCCATCATTCTTGCTGCTGAAAAATGAGGGGGATAAAGTGTCAATCGTTTTGGCATACGGAACACCTTTCCGTTGCTGCTAAAGAAATGAGAAGCTTTGTCTTGAGTGATACAAAAGAAAAAACCAAAGACAGTGATTCATGGGCTAACATCCTAGCAACTTGAGTATTGAGAAGAAAGATATGAGGCCACGAATGGTGATACCCTAGCTCTAACCAAGTGTCAAAACCCTAATAATCACAAACACTTGCATCTGATGGAATCCGCACAACATGCATAATACGCTGCTGTTCACTGCATTTCAACGTTTAAAACAAAGTACATCAACTCAGTGATGACCTCTACAACCAAAGCTCAATTAACAAGCGAACAGGTGAATGCTGGTCAATATCTTCAAAGGCCAGATTTTTCCAAACCCTGGGAACCTAAGGAACGGTTTCAAAAAATGGGCCATCGAAATTAACCAGGAACCGAAAGTCAAACACTCCTTAGAAAACACAATGCTGACTCTGTTGAGACTTGCCAACATCCGTCTTGCGACTATGGTATAAGTCAGACTTGATCAGAACCTAAGATGCCTCATCCTAGCCAGTTTCAGTACAAAGTACGGCATTGCATTGCAATGTCGTGAACCAGCAGCATAAACAGGACCCCAGCATTACAGGAACCTGATGTATATCTGACAATGAGACCAAACAACCTAACCCTTCAATGAACTTCATGCCTCGCATGTGAGGCTGAACAAGAGCTAAAAGCAGGCTGATCGGCAAGGACAAACCAGACAGCAGTCCACCTCTACTATCTACTGTGACAATACTGCAATATCAGAAGACCAACGCTTGCCACGGTAAAAGGTGTAGAGTCCTAAACCATGCTACGGAATGCGACAGTCAGTGCATTTGCAAACTAGAACCAGGTCCAAACAGCTGCAATACCTCCTAGTCAACCGAACAAAAGTCATGGCCAGAGGTTATTTGGCAGCATAAGCCAAAACCCCTACATGCAAACGCAAAGTGCTGTAACTCCGGATTTTGCGCGTGCCCCTACTTTGTTTCCATGACGTTCCTCTTCTCAAGAGAGGCGAGGAATTCCTCACAGACCGTCCAGTATTCACCCCATACTCATGCTCTTCTCGAGTTTTCTTCTCTCAAGGATCTTCTCCAACAATTCTCTAGTATCTGAAACACCATAAAGACCCTTAAAATGGGAAACTTCTCGAACAGAACCCCTTTCTTTGGTGAGAAGAACAGCTTGTGAAGCTCACCATGCACAAAAAGAAAGCCCAAAATCAAGCCATTTTCCATCCCAACTCAGGGAGAGACTCCCTTGACAGAACAAAAGGCAGCTCAAACTATTCCCAACTTACCTACAAACCTTGGGCGTAAGTTTGCCTTCTAGCGTCTGCAAACGTCCCTTGCCACCCACTCTCGTCGGAAGAAACGTAAAACCCTCCGGCACAGCTGAAAACTTGCTTGCCCTCAGCTCTAGCACAAACGATGTCTTCAATAGCTCCTTCCGCTTTCCATTGCAAGAAGAGTCAAGTCAGCTTTTCATTGCAACCAAGTTCTTCCAAGGAGCCCCTTGTTGATCTGGTAAAGAGGCGGAAGCCTTGTAAGTTTCCTCAGGTTTCGCCAGCTGTTTCTCGAAAGTAAGATCGCCGAAACGGCGAAAGAACCTGCCAGTGCTGGCGCCAGTGCATGAATCTCAGCCTGAAGTTTTTAGGTGAAAATCAAACCCTAAAATGAGGGGAACGAAGGTGTCCAGCGTGGCATGCGTGCTCGCTTGGAAAGCGCAGCGTCCGATCAATCATTGCGCAACAGCTGGCAGTCTGTTGCACCCTCCGATTGAGGCGCCCCCTTTTTTGTCCGTCAGATAAAGGATAGACCCGGGCAGCTCCGGATGTGACTCTCGAATCACAGCCCGGAAGCAAAGATGCCGGACCGGGACGGGTTCTGTGGGTCTCGCAATCCGATTAGAGGTCGGTCATATCCACCGAGCCTAGAAACGCCTTGTTTCTTCGACCCGGGTCTACTGGCCGGGGGAGCAGCATCATAAATTAACTACGCGACACGTGCACCACATGAGACACGTGGCTCGGATGATTTGCTGCGGCACACCACAACTGGTTTAGAAGGACTCCAAGTGCAGGATAGTAGAGCAGAGCAACTGCTTCAGCAGAGTCTTCTTCTAACTACGGAAACTGCGCCTCATTGTCAGGGTGACAGTATGAGTCATGACATGACGCGCACAATAATGCACATTGAGAAGCGGGGACCAGCTCGGTTGCGCAATGCGCCTCCCGAAGTGTATCTCCACTGTCCAGCACCCTGTACCAGGTACTACCGTATAGTGGTCACTAGCAGGTATGCCTACGTAGGCAATCACCTGTGTACCTGATCGCTGGGGATGCAATCGGATCGCCTGTGGCGTTTGCCCGCCGCATTCAGAAAGTCTGACTTCAGGAAATGGCCTCGTACTTCTCAACCACACATACCTACCTACTACGGGACATACCGTATCTTGATAGGTAGGTATCTGTCAACCTAGCTACAGCATCTGCCTATACTAGCCCCGTACTTGCCAATACTTGCTCAGGTGTACAAAAGAGTCGGGATGCTCAGGATTGCATAGCTGGCCCCTAGCTACACCGCAAAAATTTGGTTTCCTTCTTCAACTTGTTCATTGAAAGCATGACTCACTCGCAACCGGAGCTGGCAAAACCATGAATACTAAATAGCGGCCCCTGGCATCGATCATCAGATGAACGAGGATTCAATGCCGTTGATCTGCTATCGTGGGGCTATCGTTTGGTTCTGATCAACCTGCTAGTGAAGCATAAACGAGCTTGATACTGTAGTGATCACACCTTTCGACACCGGGCCTCGTCTTTCGCTTTTGCGTTGGTAGTGTGTCAATTTCCTCACCCCAGCTTTGCCTTTCTCGAGCTTTCACAACAATCTACAAAAGTGCAAAAGCGACTCGTCAAAAAGTGCAGCTTCAACGACCCTAGCTTCTCATACCGGTAAAGGGAGCATTCACGTACCTCATCAGCGATCCTGCCATCATTTCTTCCACACTGCTTCGAGCCGTTCTCTCCAGCCAATCATTTCCTGCAGGTCGCTGCAGGTCGCTTCTTGTTCCGGCCATCATCTCAACAAGCAATCTCTCTATATAAATCAGCTCACATTGAGCTGAAGGCGTCTGGAGAAGGAGCTCTGCCGTCAAATCAGCTGCGCTTTTGGTGCACAATGGCATCCCTTTGCGCTGCTGGCGCGCTCGCCCTTCTCCTGCTGGTGACTGTGGCCCACGCACAGGACATCTGCACGCAGGTATGTCAGCTTTCACTGAGCAGTGAGAGAGGCATTTTCTCAATCTACACCTTGTGCTGTGCGTTTTGTTGATGGTAGTCTTCTAACTTTGAGGATCCTGCTTTGCTCCAGCAACTCTTAGGACATATGCATACCTGGATGCCGGCTAGCTTCTAGGCCTTCATTGCCAGTGAGACTCTCTGGAGTCGTCGTTCTAGCTTGACATTCTGCCTTTGGAAGAAAGTTGCTCAAATTGGGGGCACTGGTGACAATCAAATCAAGCTCTAAGCTTTGCGCTCTACGTTCTGCGCTCTGTGCTCTAAGCTCTTATTTCTTAAGCAAGCCTGTTTCATTGTGGTCTCCCTGCAATGTGCAGCATTGCTCTTCGTATGATGCTTGATGACACTCAATGCATCGCCTGTGTGGTTCTAAGCGGCTCAGATATAAACCTTGTTTGCGGGGCTGAGAAAGCTCTTCTTTCCTGCTAATCTCCTGCAATCCTGCAAGCAAATTATCCCCATTGTAGATCTGCAGCATAGGTTTAGAAGCTCTTGCTAAAGCACTGCCATGACCACGTTGCAATGAGACCTTGAAAGACAAACTTATCCTGTGGTCTCTCACGTTACCCTGTTCTGAACAGCTTTAGATCAGTTTCCAGCCAGTAGATTGGAGAAAATGTTGGAACCAAAGCTTGAGAGGAAGTCCCGTCTTGTTCCGGCTTCACATAAGAAGCATATGCAAATCAATCCAGAAATCCTTGTGTACGCCCATCCTGTCTTTGTTTGCGAGAGTGGGGCACACTTGGTCATCACATTTTGGTATTATAGCGCTGGCTTCAAATGCCCTTTACTAAGTGGAAATCCAACTTTCAAGACGTTGTTTGAATCGGATTGAAAGGATCTTTAACAGTTGCTCGCATTGCCAGATCCTGTCTCAACGTATTCGCCTGTTCGCTAAGCACCTCACCTGTTCCTTCTTCGCTTGCATAATGCAGTCGCAGATTCTGATACAGGATATTGACAGTGACCATCTTTGTAGCTCTAACCCAACATGTTCTGACCGAGAAGTGTTCAACGTACGCGTGCAGATCCTGATTCAAGAAGCAACTCAAAGGTGATGGAATGTAGCCCCATTTCAGGCCCATCCTCATCGGTCTTGAGCGCCAGACCCGCCTTCCAGAACCAGATAGCCCGTATATGTCCAAAGGATCAAACACGTGAAGGCTTTCTCAAATCCATCACCAGATCTCAAAAGCTAAGAAGCTGACACAAACTTTCTTCTGGTGCACTTGCAGCCTTCGACCACTTATCTGGCGGCCAATTCCAAGACCGTCATTCACGGCGTCTTCTCCCCAACCTTTGCGCCTGTGGCCCATGTGAAGTCTGGCGACACTCTGGTTGCTGGTGAGCACCGTAACTCTCTGCCCGTGTGCGCACTGATGTGTTACGGCTCTTCTTCTTTAACACAAACAGAAAACAAAGAATAATAATCAATAAGAAAAAACTGCCTCATTCTCGCATTTTCGTTTGGTGTCCATGAAACGGGGTGGTTTATCCTGCCTCCCAGACGGAATCCTCTTTCCTGTACTTTCCATTCCAAGTTGCTTCTGTTGTGTCAGATGGTTGGTTCTCACTTGTGCGCGCACCTTCTGCCATTAAAGGCTTTGTAGAATGTAAAGTGGCAGATACAACAAAGTGCTTGAATAAGGACTATGTTGCTGGGATTGATAGAACACGTTTTTGTGAAGTGTCTGCTCACCCACCTCACCTGACGTAACGCTTTGCTGTCTATCTGCAGAGTGCGTTACCACCAACTCCAACGCCGACTACCCCAAGTTCGTGAAAGGTGACCCTGGCGTGGAGGACATTTTCTACTGGCCCAACGGAGTGTCTAAGCTCAACAAATCAGTTCCCCAGTATCCCAATTCGGGGGGGCACTTCCTGACCGGGTACGATGACTGGAGAGGGGGGAGTGGAGGGAAGACGGGAGAAGTGGGGGGTGGGGATGTCATACTTCAGAATTGGGTCTTACGTTCTGGTATACAAGACCTTCTCTCTTGATCCGCTCTTCCAATCCAGTCTGGTTACTTCAATATTTATGTTAAGCCTGATGTCTTGCTTGTCCTGACACTGTGCGCTTCTGGTCGTCACTTGTCGTATTTGTGGGCTCTAGTCTACCAGCTGTTGCGTGCTTGCTGTCAACGGCTGACGTCAGCCAAACGCGCTTCGAGTCCTTCGTTTTCACCTGCCGTTTGCTGACACAAGGATGACGCAAGAAATCTGAAGAAGGTGTTTTGAGCGTGTGCAGGCCGGTCCAAGTCTGTGGCGCGGAGCCTGGTGACGTGCTCAAGGTACGTGCCGCTTCCATCCTTGCACACGTCAGCAATGTCGCCCCTTGTGTCCTTCCATCATGACTTCCCGCTTTCTCTGGTAAGAATCGCTGCAGTGATGGAATTGCCACGTAATGCTGAACCGAGGCCTCCAGCTTGGTAGTCTAAGCTGACCAGTTTCGAGGAGTCTGTCGCTAGGTGGATCCCAACCTTTGCTCATCGAAAAAGTTATATGCAAGATTGTCCCAATACGAATGTCCTTTACGATTCTTTTCGTACTTACTCCTATTGGACCAATAGTGCACTCAGGTGGGGATCTCAGAACATTCTAATGTTGTCGAATCGCCCGCCCCACTTCTTCCACCAGGCGCACGGGGGGCGCTCCTTAATCTCTTATTTCCTTTTACCAGAACCTTTACTTAACCGTGTCTCAGAAACCAGTATTTCCTCCGTCGACAATTTCAGGTCGAGATTCTGGACGTTGTTCCCCGCCCGAACCCTTCCACCGGGCGCACGTGGGGCATGAACTACCAGGGCGCGTCCTACACCAAGGACTATATTGGCACCCGGTTCGGCGACTACAACTTTACGCAGGACAACTACACGCAGATCGTCTACGAAGTGCTCTCGGACGAGTTTGGCGACTGGTAGGGGGCGAAATTTCAGTCTTTTAAAGCTCATTTGGCAGAAATTGACCCCATATTCAAATCGCTTTCGGTAATTGTGTATTTTTTACTGAGGAAGATTGAACTATAGCGTAACATGAAGCAACTACACGCAGCTTGTCTACAAAGTGCTTCCGAATGAGTTACGGAGACTGGTGAGCGTTGGGTCCACCGGTTTAAAGTTGACGTCTTTCTGGGCACTTGATTATACTCTGACCTTTGTTTCTGCGATTTATTTTGAAATCGCAACCAAGATGCGGATAGGAAACAGAGTGCTTTCCGACGTGTCTTCAACGAAATTTCGCTCGTACGTTGGATGTGAATAGGCTCTTCCGACAAGCGACGTCTGGTCTTTCTGCCTCAGGGTGGAGCCTGCTAACATTTTGAGGTCCCCAAGTACAACGAAGCGGGCGGCAAGGATTGAACGCTTTTCATCGGAGGGTCGCTCCTGAATCTGAATATATTCTTCTGAGATTGAATGTGCTCATTTCGCCGCAGGGTGGAGCCTGTTTACATGGTTGAGGTCCCCAAGTACATCGGACCGGACGGAAAGGACGGAACGTTCTTCAACGGAAGCGTCGCCATGATGCCGTTCCCCACGAACGTCGGCGTGCCGCCGGCAGATTTCGTGCCCTCGCTGTTCCAGGTAAGCCGTCAGCATTCACAGAGTAGTCCTGCGTCCTTCAATTTCCGTCAGCATCTTTTGTCAATCGAAGGTAATTTCAGACCATAGAGATCTTGAGAAACATAGGAAAAATACGTTGCGCTGAAGTGGAGTCTGGATTTCCAACACGCCCAAACTCTTCTCGGGCCAGTCCCCCTTTCTCGTGCGGAGCTACTGATTTGACGAGCTCATACTTTCGTAATCCCAGCCGGTAAAAGTTGGAAGCCTCTTCCAGGTGGAAACTCCAATCATCCACCACTACTTTGAAGTACGGGATTCTCGATCGCAAATTCCCTGCCGAGACCGTGACCTACCTCTTGGGTTCCACTCTCCCCTCATTGATCTCGTCGCGGTCATCTTTCTTCTTTACGTAACAAAGCCCAGCATCGTAAAGTTGATACTACTACATTCACCCGTGTGCAACCACACTGCATGCTTACACAACTCGCAGGAGTCCCGCATGTTGTCAAGAACGCGACGTATTTCGTGCGACTCGGTTTTCTTTCGCCACCAGCTTAAGCTCAAATCCAGAGCCCTATCGCTCTGCATTCTAGAGTAATTGATGCGCTGTTTTACCTAAAGCTGCCATTACCCTTATTGCAGGATCCTCGCACCTTCCCTGCCGAGAACGTTACCTACCCTCCCGCTTCTAGTCCTCTCTCGCCGATGGCGCCACGCTCAAATTCAACCTGATTTCAGAGCAATATGAGACCCTCAAACCGAATTGAACACCATGCAGAAATGCTGAAAAAAGCAGGTCTCATTTTCAATTTCCATCTGTAAACTATTTGCAGGATCCTCGCACGTTTCCTGCCGAGAACGTGACGTATCCTCCGGGTTTCCAGTCGTCTCTTGCCGACGGCGCCACACTCAAGTACATTGACACGGCGACCCTCAACTGGCGGGTGCCTCAAAGGCAGCACTGTGAGCCCCTGTGCTGACGTCACCTTTTCATGATCTGCTGGCGTTGGATAGTTCCGTTTTTTTGGCGTGTCTTTACGGCGAGTGTCTTGGACTTTGAAGGCATTCCTTCAAAGTTGGTTTTCAGACTGTGTGACAACTTTCATCTTAAGCAAGCGCAGGAAGCCCTTTCGCAAGAGGGTCCTGTAAAAGAAGAACTGCTTTCGCAAAAGGCGATGCCTTCGAAACCCAAAAGGCGGCTTCTTTAGAGTTTGTGCTGAAATTTCCACCCTTGCGGTTGCAGATGGCGTCTTTGGTGTGACCCCCGCTAACGCGGCCAAATGTAAGACACCTTCCTCCCCCCCGGTTGTTGCTCACGTCTTACAACGCCCCCACAATCAGGAATTGTATTCTACTGTTCAGATCTGTGATCAGTTAACTATGCTTGGAGATCGTAGGACAAGTTGGAAAACCGCAGGGTCAGTAGAGTGTTTGGATGCACCAGTCTTTCGAAGGGCTTCGTTCACTCTTTCTCGTGTCAAAGTAATAGTAGGGCACGGAGAAGGGGGCTTCCCTGCTTCGGCCGCCGGAGGACTCGTATTCGCGTGGCAAAGAAGAGGGATCCCTCGCAGTCTTCTCATGATTTCCAGTCATTTTCCTGGCCCGCTCAAAAAACGTTCTTACCCGCAGTTTCAGCATCAGGAGACTGAGAGCCGCAAAACCCGACCACGCCTTTCACGCTCTGCAATTTAACGCTTTCCCACTTCTCGAGTTATTGAGTTCCTGCTGACGTCCTTCTGAAGATTGAAGAGCTCAGACGCTGACGTCTTTCATGCAACTCAAGCGACGCCGTGCACGGCTCCCTGGAGTCTGCTCCGCCCTCCCAAATTTGGCGGAAACTTGGACCAGATTCCTATTTCTCTCTGATTCCTGCTGACGTTATTTCGGAAGACAGTTTTTCAATTTTCGACGTCATATTCTGCAGATCAAGCGACGGCCGTGAACGGCTCCCTGGGCGCGGGTTCCGCTCCGCCCTCCAAGTTCGGCGGAAACATGGACCAGATCCGCGTTGCCAAGGGAACGACCGTCTACCTCACCGTCCAGATCCCCGGGGCTGGGTGAGTTCTTCGTCGTTCCTTTATTGATTCAATTGCTCTCCTTAGACAATTTATCCTTCAGATAGCCCTTTCTGGAACTTCAGGAAGCAGATGACCGTAATCCGGTTTGGCAAGTGAGCGACCATCTACCTAACCCCACATTTCAGGGGCTGGGTGAGGCGTTTGCCTCCTATCCTACTTCTTTGATTAAATAGTCCCAAATAATGCTATCGCCGCTTCCAGATTCCGCGGGCGAAACGTTCCGCACTCCGCGCGTCGCGGAAGGAATAAATGTCCAGCTCACGCATGGTCACTCAACACTCAGTCCAATAAGTGAACAGCTTCAAGCCTGCTGCCGACCGACTCTAGAATCTGCTGAATTTGCTCCTAAAACTCTGTAAAGTCCACTTGAGACTCTCCTTTCCATCTGCTCGAACCCTCCAAGAAATCCTTTCATCCATTCTGTGATTCCGTACGTCTTCATTGCGCTTCGTCTTACAGTGCTGTCTGTCAATTGTCTTTGATCCGAGTTTAGGTTATCGAACTGGAAGCCGCGCTTCCCACTTGTAACTTGTATAAGACTTCAAGGGTGAAGTGAGCTTAATAGGCAAGGTAAGACAAGCAGCCGAGGACGGGTGGGGTTAGTTTGGGGGTTAGGGTGGGTTCGGGTGATGAGCGGGTGATTTTGAAGGTTGGGTTTTTGGTGTTAGGGTAGGAGCTTACAATACCCAGAGCTCACTGTTCCTAAATTCAAGAGACATGTAACGTGTAATGACCCACCATATTTCCACTTCTAGGTGGACATTCGGCGACTGCCACGCGGCGGAAGGCGACGGCGAGACCTCCAGTTCTGCGGTTGAGGTGGGCTGATCTTGCTTTGAGGAATCTTGAATGCGTTGCGCTCGGTCCAGAGAGTTTCCACCATATATTGTTCCGTACAACTTTCGAGGTCGCAGCGCTAGCCTGCGAAGATCGAGAACAATGCAGATTAGATGCACCCTTCCTTTTCAAGATATAATTTACGGTGCGGCAACCTTCAAACGAGGGTTACGGAGCGTTCTCGAGTACTAGTTCCGTTTCCGCAGGCTTCCAACACCGGAACGTTCCGCTTCACGCTGATCAAGAAGGCGGACCTGACCCCCGGTCTGGCCAGCCTGACGGGACCGCTTCTGGAGACGAAGGAATACTTCCACCTCCAGGGCTTCTCTTACGAGGACTACATTGAGGAGGTGAGGAGACGCTGTTTTATGCAATCTCTTTTCTCCACTTCATAACTTGTTTCTGGATGCGCAGTTTAGCTGCGCGCTTTGTGCCATCCGCGCTGCTCTTCGCGCGCCTTAAACGTTTTCTGAAGGTTTCTTTGTCGTGAGGCCGATTGAATCCAAAGGCAGCTTAACAGCATCCGACCTATCACCTATGATTTCTGGTTTGAACTATGGAACCGTCCTAGATACGCTCACGAAAGTTCGGTGAATACGAACGCGCTCTTACCAGTCCTTGCGATCTTGGGTTCCGCTTCCGCTCAGAGTCCAGGTCCGCGCGTCGGCAGCAACCTCCTTTGCAAAACTCTCAACCAAAACAACAAGAATTGCTACCACACGCATACATGAATTATTCTCACCTCGGATGATCTTAGATTGACCTCAATCGAACAGATCTTTGTATCACAATCACAATCCGATGCTCAAAGAGAATGATGCCGTTCCGTTCAGGTTCCGGTTCCGTTCAAGCCTGACAACGCCTCCCTCAGCGAAGAACTCAACAATTCCACGAACAGACAGAGCTCTACAAGAAGACGCAACATCCATGTTCGTTTCCACTTGTCGTTTAGGTAGACTGATTTCTCGAATCATCAATCTTTCCCGTTCAGGACCTGATACAACTGAGTCCGTTCCGTTCAGGTTCCGGTTCCGTCCAAGGTCGGCAACGCCTCCCTCGGCGAGGACCTCAACAAGCCCATGAGGACTGCTACAGGGAAACTCGCAACTTCCAATTTCGTTCTCCCTGTGTCGTTCAAACAACGATAGTAAAACAGCATTCCTTTTCGGCTCAGGTTCCCATCGTATTCCACTCCGTTCCGTTCAGGTTCCGGTTCCGTCCAAGGTCGGCAACGCCTCCCTTGGCGAGAACCTCAACAAGCCCATGAAGGACTGCTACAAGAGACGCCCTCCATTTTCACTGAGCATTCTAACTTAATCATGTTCCGTTCCGTTCAGGTTCCGGTTCCGTCCAAGGTCGGCAACGCCTCCCTCGGCGAGGACCTGAACAAGCCCATGAAGGACTGCTACAAGAAGACGCGCAACTTCCTGATGGACTCGTTCAACCTAGAGGAGCGCGAAACGCTCGCGCTCATGTCCGTCGGCGTCGATTTCGGCATCACCGAGGTGGTGGACGGCGTCTGGGGTGAGGCTTTTTGGCGGGCGCTGGTCGCCCTTTTCCGTCATCCAACTTGTGCTTGGAATTAGTACTTTGGAATTAGTAAAATAATTGAAGGCGTCTGGCGTTAGCCTCTTTGGAGGGCGCTAATGATCTCAGCTGATGATCTCCGTCAATCTGATGATCTCAGCTGACGTCACTTCTCCGCAGGCATTCATTCCACCATCCCCAAGTTGGCCTTCTCCCGCCGTTACGCGACCAAGACCCAGGGGAACACCCCGGTTGGTGGACCCATCAGCCTCCGCAAGCTGCAGGTAAGGACTCTCTCTGTTTCTTGCGGGAATCCTGCCTCCAAATAAACCTTCATTCAGTAGACGGGTTTATAGTTAATCTACGAGGTTTGTTGCTCAAAAATGCCGCCTTCGAACGGGCCGGGGCAATACACCGGTTGGTGGGCCCATCAGCCTGCGCAAGCTGCAGGTAAGGACTCTCACTCCGTGGAACACCGAGGAATTCGACCCCCTTTGTCGCGTTCTCCATGTTATCGTTTCGGTCGTCAGAAGCCCGATTCGGTGTAAGGCGGAGTGCTCGGAACGTCAACACCATCTCAAATCTTTGCAGAGTGCGTGCCGGTTCGGCACACCTCGCTGTCGACTTACGTTGCTTCCAAAACAGAGAAGATGAACGTGTGAACGCAGCCCCTTCAGATCTTCGAGCTTCAGACTTTGGAGAATGCTTGAGAAGAGAGCTGATGCTTGATGGGTTACCCGGGAAATTGCGGTTTAGGCAGAGGTTAGATGACACACCGTGCGCTTTATGCAGAGCGCAAAGCCAAGTGCCCGGGAGGTGTTCAACCCGACCTACGACGAGCTGGTGGAGGCGTACACCAAGATGCACGGGGAGGTCTCCTTCAACCGGGGCCCCCGCAACTAGATTCGCGGGTTAAACAAACCCGGCAGAGTCGTGACACGAATTGGCGGGTTACCGAAAGCTCAGGGTGACAATTCGCGGGTTAGTGCGACCGCGTTTGCGTCACTGCGATGGCTTGGACGAAACCGTGGGGCAAGTATGTGTAGGTTGGTTATTGGTGATTTTATCGTTTCGCATGCACGAAAAGTTCGGTGTAAATAGGCAGGGTAGGCAATTGAAAGTAGTTAAATACTCTAGACAAGGTTACCTCTCTCTTCGTCAGAACGCAATGGCCGCCGAAAAGGCAAGCTGTTCAGGTCAGTCATTGTTACGTACGTCGGACGGCAGATACGCTAAAGTAAACGCTCATATCCTATAGCCCTGTCTGCGAGCTTGAAGACGTGCGCTTGAGATCGATATGTTCCAGATCGTCGATTCTGGTTTAGCGGGTGCACTACTGGATAGAAGTCAGAAGAGTAAAGTTAGCAAGGTCGTATATTGCACGTCAGGATAAGTCAAGGACATTCTAGCATTTATGAATATTGATGCAGTCACGATGGGAAGTACACCGGAACCGCAGGTAGGAACCGGCCGTTCTGTCCAGTGAGTCCCTTTCGTGAATCGGGTCCATTGTCCATTACATTCAAGACTGGCCGGTCGGACTCTGCGGACTGAGATTTCAATTGCACGCACGATTAGACTTCATAATGAGGTGAATCTTTTGTGAAACCTGCTCTGTCGCGTTTGCTCATGGCCGGCCGCGCGTAAATAATCAAGCTGACAGTGACCTACGATACAGTACTTACGTTCCTTCAATGGATCGGATCATGCATGCAACGGTTAAGTCTTTTTAAGTCCGATACGTCGCGGACCCATCTTCCGACAAACTTAAGATTTGAGTCCAGGCTTAGATTATTCCAAGCCCGGAAATATATATCGCACGTTGCCCGGCGACGATCAGATGATTCAGATGATCGCACTAGGCCACCGGGCCGTTTTCGAAACCAGAGCGGCCGCGCCGGCCAGATCCGGCGACTACCACGCGGGCCAGTAGCTCATGCATACGGCCAGCTCATGCATATACATATAATTAACATGATCAAGTATGATTGTAATTACTGGGCGTGCCGGGGGCTCTTGGGCCCCCGGATGCTTTGTAGTGTCAACAAAGGCAAGCGGAGCACACTCCCGCATCTAGCTACTGACACTTCCAATCGGACGGTCACCAAAGTGTCGAACTTACCTGGTGCAATTGCAAACGACCTCAACAGTTGCAATATCGGTGCGAGCTCGGCAAACAGTCCTCCGGGCCTGCATTTGTGCACTGCACCGATTGAACGTTGCTCATATTACTAATAGTGTCCACTTTTAATTAAAGACGCTGCTGTGCTGGGATATTGACACAAACAGTAAAATCGGTGCGACCTCTCATAGTGCTGCATGCGAGTATAGCGTTATCATTCATGATTACCGAACACCCGGAGGAAGTGCCAACCAATTCACACTGCGGCCGCTCGTGGCGGAGCCTTGTCGGACACCACATGCATCGCAGTACGTACTTATCATAAACACCAACCCGGGCCAGCTGCAATGCACATGCATGCGGAGTCAGAAACCTCGGTGACGGCGTTAAGCTTACGTCACTCGACCAATCAGATTGCCGGGATGCCATGATGGGTCCTGAAGACTTTTAAAGAGCCCCCTAAATATAATGCCATAAGGCCAAGCCTCGAAGTGCGGGTCCTCGTGGGCGCGCGCCCTCGTTCAAACCGGCTGGTTACGTATGAGGCATGTACAGTAACTAAGTGCGTCGATCGCGCAACAAGTCTTTCATCATGTTGGCATGACAGTGAGTACTCAGAAAGCTCAGGGCCGCCCCGCACGCGCGGCAGATAGTTATTGAAAGGGCACCTGCATGTTACCTCGCGTGATCTGTAGTCTTATCGTTCACTGAGTTAGTTAAACCGCGCGCGAGGCGTTTGATCGACTGAGTGAGTCGGTCATATTCTGATACCAGGCTGAGTTTGTGCGCTCACTCAATGACTGAGCCCGGGCCGGCTTGAAGAAGTCCCCACAATCTACCATATTAGGTGTCGTCATAATAGTTGCAGTGGCCATGCATGAGTCGATTTATTCGACTCGAGGCCTCGTATACTAATCCCTTGTCCTGATACTTATAGGCTATGGTACTTGCTAACAAAGCAAATGCATTAGTTGACAATTGCATGTGGAATCTCCTCACCACTAAGCGCCCACCTTAATTTAGCGCTGTCCTTCGAGACACACTCGAGCTTTGCTCCGGAGGCGCACCTGCTACCTGAGGGGCCGGCGCTTGACTCGCGGCCGCCCCCGCTTCCACAGCAAAAGCACCCCCCGCTTGCGTCAGCAAACTAAGGTTTATATTGAGGCTCGCTACGAAGCCGCCCAAGTCTCTTAGGCCCTCCTCCCACGAAAACATGTCCCCTGCGAATCTTATAATCAGGTAGTATAGCGCGCTGTTTTGCAGGAACGCCTGAGCCGGTCGAAGCAAGTACCTGGTACCGGTCCATACGCACTGCTGAAGAACCACAGCGCTTATATACGCTTTCAGCACGTCGTTCTCATGCCCTTTCCCCACGTTCGTATACAGCTTGACCGAGAAGATTGCGATAACCACCGTGCAGGCCGCGAAAAAGAGCCCCGCAATCGCATACGCGCTCCCCACGAGCCGATTGTGCTTCTTGCGCGCGCTCTCCACGTCAGCAGCGAGGACGTCTCCTTCGTCCGCCACGGGGCGGTTGCTGAGAAGGGCACGTGGCGAGGAGGGCTCCGCGGGCGCGACCGCGTTCCGCCCCTTCCGGCTCTTCGGGTGCTGCTCCATCTGGGGGGGTGGAAGGGGCACGGGGCGAGGGGGGGTGCGAGAGAAGAGCCCAACGAGGGTTCGCTTGATGAACGGAAAGTAGCCCTCCCATGCCCACCTGTATCGAGACACGAATTTTGAGAAGGGCCGCCTTCTTGAATTGCTTGTTTGCGGTCACTCCTCGCAATCAGCCCATTTCCTTTTCCTATCGATGGCGTCTGATTGTGTGAAGTGCGCCTGCGGTTCCACTTTCGTCAACGATCGATACCGTGGAAATGCCTAGGTGAGCTTCGTCTATCTTTGCCAGACTACGGAAGGCTTCTTCTTTGATCAGCTTCTGGTAGCGGCCTCAGAGTTGAAACGATTTCATGTTGGAAAATTTGGACAGACAACCAGAACTATCCATTGACTGCACCTTACAGCGTACTTCCACTAGACGTTTCACCGCGTAGAAGGGACTTGAAACAGAAGTTCGCGCCCGATGGAGCGCACAAAAGGTCCGGCAAAACAGCCATCTTCCAAGGCGTGCGCATGACGTAAACCCTAGTAGCTTGCTAGAAGTCGTTCTCTAATGTTTTCGTTATTTATGTGCCATTTGTTTGTGGTTTCATTCATTCCCGTCACTGTTTCTGAGGGAAAAAAGAAAAAAAGCAAATCCTCGAGCTATGAATCTTCTGTTGGAATTCAAAAGAAGTGCACGCGTTCTTTGACTATTCAACGATGGCCCAGACAAAAACCGAGTAGAGACACGCCGCAAGTCTGAACGGGATCCGAGCGGATTCAGGAAGCTAGCTAATGTATTCTCGGAAGACCCACCTTTCCAAAAGAACGTGGCTCGATATGCTGGCTTTGAACAGCCAGAACATCACGATCTGAACCGGGAGCAGCAGAAGAAAACTGATGAGCGCCATCCACAGACTACTGGCGGTGCTCCCGTTGGGGAACGCCGTACACGTGGCAGCATCGTAGCCGCTCAACATGTCGGCCAACGGCCCACAGCCGAGCTCCGTCTGGCCGGCGACGCAGGGCGGAATGTAAGCCGTTGATTTGCAGCCCAGGCCGCACAATCCGACGGTCTGGGTCGCGTTGAACGCGCCGCCGCAGAGGGACGTCTTCAGGTTGTCGCAGCACTTGATCGTGCGGCTGTAGTGCATCCACGTGTTGATCATCAGGCTGCCCAGCCAGACGCAGCAGATGCGGACGACGAAACCTGGCCGTTGGATCAGCGCGGAGAGCCATCGCTCGGTGGAGATGAAGACCGCGATCAGCTTCCGACGCGCGAGAACGTTCCACGTGCCCTTCAAAGTAATCGTGCGGATCTGCCACAAGAGGCGGGAGCCTTCCTTGCGGAGATGCCGGAAGACTGTGGCGGCGTCGACGGACTGCAGAACGGAGGATTTGGACTGTTAAGCTGCTTGATTCAATCGCCTGGTTGCGACGTCTTAAATTGAAAAGCCTCAGAAAGATGGGACTGGTCAAGTCAGCTCTGCGAGGCAGGAGATTGATGTGTCTGACGGAGACATGAGCCTCGAGACACTGCTTCGAATCAGGGGTGTGTGAGCCTTGTGTTTACGTACGGTATTTTCGTGGAGAACAGCTCGTATGACAGATATCCGCGCCGCAATGTGTTCACAGCCCATTAGTAAGACCGAACGCACGCTAGCTCCACCAGATGTTGCTCGAAGTGCGAGCTTTGCGGCCGCAGTAGGAACGATTGCTGAGTTTTCTTTTTCGATGATGTTCTGAAGCAAAAGCTGTTCAACGGAGTTCAACAGATCAAACGGATATACTTGTAAACCAAAACCGGGATTCATCTTTTAGTCGTTGACGGGAGATAACCACCAAAAAAAGTATCGTCTTATTTCACAAGATTCTTGATTCTGGTGGACTTCAGAGAGCTCGGGCAGACAGGAACCACTCAAGTCATCGTGGGCCGTTTTAGATTGGAGTAATTTAGAAACCCCTTGACGACTTCTGACATCTTTGCTAGTCCCACAGCTAAGTGAGTACTGCCCTCGTCTCGTGCCATCCCACGGCATCCCACTTCGCCTGTTGCGGACTGACGCTTCCTTCAAGCATCTCGACTGTCTCTCCTCGCTGACGTCACCCCCTCACCTTCATGACGTCCTGCAGCGCCTGCTTCAGCTGCTCCTCCCACTGGTCCAGCACCTTGTCCGCGTCGCTGAGCCACGTGTCAATCAGGGACTCGTCACTGACCACGTCATCCAGCCAGGCACGTGCCGAGTGAAAGACTGCCCGGGGGTTGCCGTCCCCGCCGTCCAAACTTCGGAGCCACGTCTCCGTTTGCCGCCGGGTGAAAGCGCACTGCGGAAACGGTCGTTAAAGGTCAGCATATTTGACTTTCCGCTCGTTCTAGTTCGGCCCCCACCGTCCAGGCTCCGGAGCCACGTCTCGGTTTGCCGCCGGTTGAAAGCGCACTGCGAAAATGCTCGGTAACAGCCTGAGTCAGCAGACTCGAAAATTTTCAGGCAGAAACAATGAACGGAATCAAGGAAAAGAATGGAATTCATGACACACTGCCCCGCAAGACCGTCGCCCACAACCTTCCCGCAGGATTCGATTTTTCCGCTTAAGCCGCTTCTTGCAAGTTGACTTTCAAAGACCCTGGCGGAACAGCCGGCTTTCCGCTTGGAGTGACCGGCCGGAACGCACGCGCGGAACGAGCAGAATTTCGATGGAGGAGCACTCACCCCCAAGACTGTCGCCCAGAATTTGCCGGCGAAGATCGACTGCTCCGCTTCCGCCACTTTCGCCGACACGAATCCCAGAATAACCTGAGGAATGGGCTGGCCTTCCGCGTAACGGAAACCTGATGGAACAAACGGACGGATCCAATAGAAAGCAACGGAAAGAGAAGAAAACTCACCCCCAAGACCGTGGCCCACACTTTGGCGGCGAAGATCGACTGCTCCGCTTCCGCCACTTTCGCCGAGACGAATCCCAGAATACCCTGAGGAACAGGCTGGCCTTCCGCGTAACGGAAACCTGACGGAATAAACGGACGGATCGAATGGAAGTGAACGGAAGGAAGAAATGACTCACCCCCAAGACCGTCGCCCAGACTTTGGCGGCGAAGATCGACTGCTCCGCTTGCGCCACTTTCGCCGACACGAATCCCAAAATGCCCTGGGGAATAGGCTGGTTTTCCGCCCAATTGCGCAGGGACTCGGGCGTTTTTTGGGCGACCGCAACGGTGGCGTTCTCGAACAGCTCGTTGTTGATGCGGCCCGAGTTATCCTCAACGACCTCCGCCTGGCAAAAAAGGTACACGCATTATTTCTCTTGGCAAAGGTATGAATGTAGGCATGCGTGGGTGCTTTTAAATCAGCTCTTTTATTCGATGGCTGCAGTCAATCAGCTCGAGGAATCGATTAAGAGGCTAGCGTATCGCCATTGTTTGGGACGATATCCAGCGTTGACTATTGGCACAAATCAATCTTAGGCGTCTCTCCCTTTCCACTTAGCCTTTCAGCTTGAACAGAAGAAATGTCGACGCGCACGTTGATCGCCAAAGTTCGTCCTGAGTGCGAAATAGAGCACGTCTGACACATTTACGAATATTTAGATCCTTTCGCGCTATTCGGGTTAACCACTCGTCAATTCTAGCCTCGCTACCCATAATACGCCAAACAGCAAGCACCTCCAAATATAGCGTCTCACCGGTTCTGGGCTCTCGGCCTCGCTAGTCCGCCGGTTCTCCAGCATCGTAATCTTCTTGAGCCACCAGCGCGGTCGCATGGACGTCCGCGGCGCGAGGTTCGCGCGGTACAGGCACAGAAGCGACATTCCACTGTGGACGTCCGAAAGGCGCGAGATCTGCTCGTTGATGTGCCGGCTGCCGGGCTTCTTGTAGACCTTCTTGTCGAGCAGGTTCTGATGGTGGGGAAGATCCAGAGATCTGCTCGTTGATGTGCCGGCTGCCGGGCTTCTTGTAGACCTTCTTGTCGAGCAGGTTCTGATGGTGGGGAAGATCCAGCACCTGCAATTTTGAGGGGTTTGTTTGTTGAGAGTCGGAAAATGTTTCCAGAAGCAGCGACATGCCGCCGTGGACGTCCGAAATGCGCGAGATCTGCTCGTTCATGTGCCGACTACCAGGTTTCTTGTAGACCTTCTTGTCGAGCAGGTTCTGGTGGTGGGGGAGATCCAGAACCTGCAGTTTTAGGGTTCCGTCATATCAGTTCCAATAAAAGTCGGGCCGGTTTTAGAAAGCAGTGACATGCCGCCATGAGAGTGCGAGACGCCCACAATCTGCTCGTTGATGTGCCGGCTGCCGGGCTTCTTGTAGACCTTCTTGTCGAGCAGATTCTGATGGTGCGGAAGATCCAGCACCTGCGTTCGTTTTGAAATGTGCGGAGGTTCAGGTCTGTTTCGAAAGCGGTGACAAGCTGCCGTGAACGTCCGATATGCGTAGAATTTGTTCGTTGATGTGCCGGCTGCCGGGCTTCTTGTAGTTTTGGTGGTGCGGAAGATCCAGCACCTGCGGTTACCAGGGGTTTCAGCTCGTAAGTCACAAGATTTCAAATCTGTGTCAAAATCATGCTGCCGTGGACGTCCGAGAGGCAAGAGATCTGCTCGTTGATGTGCCGGCTGCCGGGCTTCTTGTAGACCTTCTTGTCGAGCAGGTTCTGGTGGTGCGGAAGATCCAGCACCTGTGAGGATACCAGGAGTCCATTGAACCTCACATGTTGTAAAGGTTGAAGATCTGCATAAGCAAGATAGGAAAACGCACCGTATTGAACTGCACGCCCACTCTCCCGGTCGACCGTTCCACCCGCCACGCCAGATAGTCGAACAGATCTTTCATGTCGTGCAAAAGCTGGACGTGCGCGCTGCGCGCGGTGGCGATGGGCGTGGTTTGGTTTCGGTCCAGGAAGATGTTGATGTCTTCCTCGCCGCGCCGCTCCCGGAAACGAATTCCGGCCACAACAGCATTGGCAGCAGCTGTAAGAAAAGGATCACGGTCTTACTTTCATACGCGGGGAGAATCAGAAATAGGGCTGTTTCTGGTGCTGGTTCAAAGGTATTCTTTTGTCTTTTCCGCCCCGCCGCTTGCGGAAAATTATACCGGCCACAACAGCATTGGCAGCGGGTGCAGGGAATAATATCTTGCTTCACTATCAAATCTATCAGGGAGTGTAGACAAAATGAGTTT